ACTGGCGACTTCCATTACAGATTATGCTTTATAAAGTATTACAGTCATACAGTCTTAAAACTGTAGTTTTGTGTCAAGCTTTAAAGGTTGCATGATTAGACAACACATTCCACTAACAATGTAACATAACAACATGAATATTTCATTTTTCATTTTTTTATTACGTGTTCACTACTTAATTTCGGTTATCCGACATACTTGTTAATCCAACATAATCATACGCAATCAACCATGTCGGGTTGACGGGACTTGACTGGATATATATTATTAGAAATACAGCTCAAAAGAAAATGTTTCTTTAAGTTTATATCTTGCTCTTTACATGAATCACAAGGTTATCAGCATTGTGTCAGACAATAAAATAACCATGGTAGATCTGAAGCAAAAAGGAGATTAGGGAAATAAATGCTGGAAATCATGGTAGTCAATGCAGAGAACAATAAAATTTGTTAAAATATGTGTATCTTCTTACTTAGTTTGCAATAAGTAAAGTCTGATTTTATTATACACAGACTTTGTTTTAAAATTGTGATGCTCTGAAATATCATTCAGATCAATTCCTTCATACCAAGAGTTGAAAACAATGACAAAAAACATCAGTATCTAACTTTTATTTACTGTGTCAATGATCTTCAACTTTTGAGAGAGTAGAATTTAGAGTTACTTGCTCTGGTTGTTTACAAACATGACAGGCTTGATTGTTGAGAAGTTTCCAGAAGTCTAACTATCCCTATATAAGACCGTCAAGAGGACGATTCAAGGCCTTTTCTGACTGTTTTATCCACTTGCCAAGTGCAGTTGGATTGGATATGTATTTAAAAACATGGATTTAAGGTCTGCTTCCAGCACGATTCCAGATTCAAGAGTGGAGACAGGCTCATCTCAAGACATTCCACAGTGATGAAATTCTGGACATTTTTGTGTCTACACACATATATTGTAGGGCCTGCTAATTTTTGCTGCTGTCACGTATTTGACCCATTGTACTGCCTGTTTGGACTGTAAACCTAAAGTTGTGTATTTGAATATTATTTATTGATTATTAATTTATTCTGTCTGGTCATTTACTGATTCACAATTTAGTTTTGCATTATGATAATCTGGGTAAACCCTTGCATTTAAATATGGAAATCACCCCAAAACGAGTGTTATTAATCTTCCACTTATGCTCTGTGACACATGTCATAACAAGAACAGTTAAGTTACTTCATTGCTGCTATAAAAGATTTGTTTGTTTGTTTGTTTGTTTAACACTGCACTCAGCAATATTCCAGCGGGGCTGTAACTAATCGAGTCTGGACCAGACAATCCACTGATCTATGCAATTGGGATACGATGATATGCATCAACTAAGTCAGCGAGCCTGACTACCCAGTCCCGTTAATCGCCTCTTACAGCAGGCATGAGATGCTGAAGACCTATTCTACACTTATCTTCACAGGTTGCTATAAGAACACAACACATAAACCACTGTACACCTTATGAACATTCAAACAGAAGTGGACAAAGATACATATAATGTTATTGTACGAAAAAACATATTTGTGAAAAACATTGTTGGCAGAGCATAAAGGAAGTGGAACAGAGAATTTGAGTTCAATATTTTACTCAAGTAGATACAGAATCAGAGATAAGTCTCTCATGTATTCTTGTATCCTTGGAAATAGTAATAGTAAACATAGTAGTGGAAAAGTAAACATTGGCCACTTATAACAACTGAAACTGCTTGACACCAGGTGCTTCTACACACAGTAGAGAACTCCGGCATGGGTCTGGTTCTAAAGCTGTTTGCTTTTACTTACTGTGGAGAGCTCCTGCATGAGGGTCTGGTTCTGAAGCCGGAACTCCTCTTCCTGACTCTGGAGCTTCCTCTGGAGTCCATCACTCTCCTGGAGTAGCAGCTCAACCTCCTACAACATCAACAGTACTCATTCTACACTCATCCTTTTCCATCATCGTCATGGTTATCAGCACATAATTTCTAAAATGGGACAACATTTTCAAAACAAAAAATTATTACAACTGCTCCTTACAGGATATTCAATGCAGCAACACTGGCAAAGATTCAGTTGTATTTAAAACAGGCCCAGCAATTTTAAGCGCTGATGGTGATACATGTCTAGGGTGAACAAAATTAAAATATCAGAATATATCCTCTATTTAATACTTAGCCTGCATTATGTTATGCATATTGTTGCTTTCAGGTCGAAAGTATTCATGGAAAGAAGACTTAGAGGACTGTATTCTTGATATCAATAAAGTCAATGAGAAAAAAGGGGCATGGGAGGTAACTCCAGGGAGCAGTAATTGGGATACCGCTGGTTCAACAACCTTTTCTATATCAAGATTACAATCTACTGAAGTCTTATTTCCATGGACACTTTCAACCTGAAAGCAACAATATGCATGTTATGTAACGCAGGCTAAGTACGAAATCTACCGTTTCATTAAATCACACATTCTTTTTGTTTATTTACGTCATTTACGTGTTGCTTTACGCCCCCTCAGCAATATTCCAGCAAAATGTCTGCAGTCTTTAATATTTTTTATCAAGTCAGGCCCAGACAATCCAGTGTTTGACATCGATCTACGCAATGTGGATAAGATGACATGCATCAACCAAGTCTGAAAGCTGGTCCACCCAATGCTAGTCCGCTCTTATGACAAGCATGGGTTGCTGAAGACAAATTCTAACACAGATCTTTATGGGGACAAAAACATTTGCTCTTTTTGAACAGGAAATATTGAGATGGGGTATTACCTTAGCTTTCTTGCTTTTGCTGATCGCCTGTGAAAGAAAAATAAGATGTAAGATTAACTAATACTTACAGGATGGATACACAACTATTTATACACTATTTCTGAAATATAACATATCAGAAGTATCAGCTATGGAAAATCTCACCATATAAAAATGAATACATATTTCATTTAAACATTACCTTGTTGGCTTTAATCAAGTCTTTTTCCAGTGCTTCATTTCTATCCACTGAATTTAAGAGCTCTGCAACACAAAATATATATTTTGTAACAGTTTCACAAGTGTTTTACCATGTTCATATCTGTGCCTTCTTGAATAGTTATGATTATTAAATATCATTCAACTTAACAAATAACTATCTCGACAATCTTAGAGGTAAATATTGAGCCTCAGGTTTGAAGCAAAAGTCATAAAATATTTCCAAATGAAAAATCATGACATTATGATAATTAATGACATGGCTTTGAAAAAGTGACATGTCTCAAATACTGATAATGGGTCAATAATTCTATAAAGTCTTATATATTTAGTTTCACATAACTGTAGCAAATAAGATCCGAAAATACATTCCTAATTTCGAACAAAATAATGTCTTTTTGTTTTCAAAATTTGCTTGCCACTGTCACTTTGACTGGAATCTTAGATAAATCCCTTTCATAAAATCACTTAATCCTTAACTTACAGAAGATTTTGAACAACCTAAGAATTAAAAAACAATAACACTTTAAATCCATTAAATTCTTCAGGTAACACTTTAATGATAATGAACAGGATGTAGATACCTCTCTCTATTTTCTTCACTTTTCCCTCAAATTCATAGTTTGTGGTCCTCAGCTCTATCAGCTGAAGCTGCAATAGATTAATGTTGAATGTTACAGGAAGCATCATTTCAATGGTGGTAAACAAGGAGTGAGGGATGTTGAACTGTAACGTTGATTTGAAAGGTATTTGCTTATATTACAACATGTCAGCTGAATGTGGAAGTAAAGCACAAGATGATGCAGGATTGCAGGTGATAATTATACGCCACTTTGGTTGAACCCAAACAATGGGTAGGGTGCCAACAGATCAAGTATGTACTCTTAACATGAATCTAAGATGGCATTCTCCTTGAAACTGCAACAAAGATGGCAGTATCCTTTAAAATGCAACAGGTTTTCTATCTGAAATCCTTATTCAGAGTTCAGTGAATGATGGTGAAAATTGATTGTTCCTTAAATTTAAAAAATATATTTCGGACAAATGTACAGGTTACCTAGCTCTACTTTGAATGGAAATACAATGTGTCTCTTAAATGGATCTTGGGATATGACAAGTGGGAAATCACTGGGAGAAACATTACAGCCCTAGCATAAATGAACATATGAAAGACAGGAGTTAGGCCTATTTGTTGCATACATGTGTCTGTAGTTCACATTGCAGGGTTTCAGATCAGTTCATTTCTCAGATCTGTCATCTAAAATATCCTAAGTGTTTAATTGAAATTTGGTAATGATATAGAAGAATGTCCCATCGACAGTTGATTAAATCATGAAAATGTACTAATGTAATTTGTCTCTTGCAAAATCACATTTTTGTGCTGTTTGACAGCTCATGCCACGCCTCCTCAAACTTCAGATGCTCAGAACGGGTATCTTTCTTCAGGTACCGTTACACGGAGTGGACAGGCAAAATGCCCAACTATGACCATAATAATAAAGGTCGACATAAGGACATTAAGATGCGCTTGTGTATGTAACGAAAGGATATCAACAGTGCATAATTCAAGTCTACAGTCATCTTGCGATTCACAAAATAAACTAGATTTTCAGACATTTACAGAGGGAATAGGTTGAGATAAAGCATCAGCATCACGCAAACGTGTCCCTAACTAATGTAAAATGTTCTTGACAGTTTGGTCTGTTACTGTTACCACACACATTCGAAGAAGAAAGTAAATAGGGTACCTGCATACGGTGAAACTCCTCTTCTGACAAGGCAGACGCCATTTTGCTGCTGCCAATGTTTTCTTCTGAAACCGAGGCTACTGGTGTATATAAAATATGAACTGCAACTAAATTATACCCAACACTGAATTATGAAAACGTTTATAAAAACAAGTGTTGGAATCGTTCACACATATTTAAACAAATATAAAAGCAAAATTGTACTTGTAAATATACAATAGACATATGCGTATAGCTGAAATATCAATATATATATCCGTTTTATCAGCTGGTAATAATCCACAATTTTACTAAATCCAATATGTCTGCGCCCATAGAATGACTTTTTCGTCAGAGAGTGAAAAATCAATAACAGCTGCATTATCTGAAATGTGATTTATGTGTACGTGTATTTCTATATGTTGTGATGTAGCATTAATGTGAACTTCAGAAAATATTCAGAATCTTTAGATAAATGTGCCACGGTGTCATTGGTTCTGTCATTCTCCAAGACTCCTTCACGTCTGACACTAATCTGCATCTAGTCTGTTTAACACATGTTTAAGACGGAACGTAATGCGCTTCATCAATTTTGTTTCTGCATTTCTCTTGGCAGCTTATCTTAAAAACAATCCTGGCCGCTCTTCATAGCCTTACTGCCTAAATTCCTGGAGGAAAGCAGCTTCAATATTAAGCTTAAAACAGAACTATTTGTGTTGCTTGGTAGGTTTGTTGTTTAACGCCGCACTCAGCAATATTCCAGCTATATGACGGCGGTCTGTAAATAATCGAGTCTGGACCAGACAATCTAGTGATTAATATCATGAGCATCGATCCACCCAATTGGGATCGATGACATGCATCAACCAAGTCAGCTAGCCTGACCACCCGAACCCGTTAGTCGCCTTTTACGACAAGCATAGTCACCTTTTACGGCAAGCATGGGTTGCTGAAGACCTATTCTACCCCGGAACCTTCACAGTTCAGAACTATTTGAGACTAGTTGAGGTCCAGACATTGTAATTGTGAGGTGTAACACTGAGGTGATGTCTCTGTGTATTCAGTCAAATTAGTGCAATCGTCAACTGCTTGTAAGATTTATATATCATACATAATAAAGTTTGCGTAAGCAAACATGCAAAGTGGCTTTTATGGGGCTTAAAATTGAATCAAACTCTGCTTTAGAAACTAATATTCCTTGTAACTATTACCGAGTTTAATCAGGAGATCATCATGGTATAGATAATCTCTTGTCAGTTAGGCTAAGTGTGATTTATTGAGTTTGGTTGTCAAAAAGTACAGTTAATTCACTTTACCTACTTAAAAATGGCTTTTATATCTGATCTCAAAATTACAAGAGTTAGAGAGCTGAAACCTTTTGAAGCTTAATTGTATAGGAACTTGTTCAAGACAATACATCAGAAAAAGGTTTGCTACTTTTTTGGACAAATATAACTTGTCCAATGAAGATAGATTTATTTTTGTGTTTAACAGATTGATAAAACAGGCTTTGTGTCTTTCCCTTTTGGTAAAACAAATAAATGCATATATATTGAAGGAACATTAATAAACTCCTGGCCGTCCTTGAAGATTAATTGACATTCGTCAGGCATGGTTAACCCTCAGGTAAAATAGGCAAGAAAATGATTGACACACCAGTATGTAAATACTTTCACGAGATAAGCATAGTTAAGGTTTTCTCTGCATTAAACATCTTGGTATATAATTTTGGTGTATAATACTCTGAATAATTTGTCGGTGTAGAATAAAGCTTCCTTAGACCTCTGAAATTGAAAACACACAAAAGAATTTTCTTTCTATGTCAAAATGAACACAAATATTTTTTTATTGTTTCAGAAGTGATGAACAATGTGGTATCGTTTCAGTTAAAGATGTCAAAGTGTGTGATGGATTAGAACTAAATGTCAATCTGTTACTGAATTTCAAAATAAATAATCGTTATTTGTCAGGTTTTCTGTCAATAATATATGACGACACTTTCTTTAAATAATCTAGAACCCACAGCATGTTTCTTGTATGATGTAACATAATTTAGAAAGAAGTGCTTTCAGATAAATATTTTCCTCTGCAGTGATGTCAGCAAAGTCATGGTCTAATGTAGAACTGATATTTTAGGGACACCAATTTCAAAGCAAGATTCTAAAATACCATAAAAGCATGGGTTGTGTGGTTACGTCTTTAAATTAGAAGATAAACATTATGTGTTTTCAGATTTATGTAGGTGTTATTGGGAATTCAATGCCCAGAAATTTCATCAGGAAATCTCATCATTTATCATCATTATAAAATTCAAATGTTATCAGTATTGTTCCACTCTGTGATCACGGGGGCACGGGTGGCCCAGTCGTCAGAGGCGCGCGATTCACTGTGCAGAGTTGCGTCCCTTGGGCACGCCAGAAATCTAAGATTGTGGGTTCGAATACTGGTTCGCCCTGATTATGTTTCTAGGTTTATCAGCACAATACCCGTGCCCATGGGTTTCACCGAAGTGGTAAATGTCTGAAACCTGCATCACTTCGGGCTTTCCTCACACATTAAGCTGACACGCCGTGATATAACTGGAATACTGTTAAAAGCGGCGTAAAACCCAACTCACTCACTCACTCACTCTGTGATCACTGAACCTGCCTGGTTGGCAGAATGAACACGAAAACTTCTAAATCAAATTGTTCTGATAAATATTTATCAATATTATATAATTAATGTGGTATCCATTTTTACCAAGATGAATAGCGAATTCTTTTTTGTAAAATACATATCAAGAAATATGTTCATATATATATATTTAGTGAAAAGTCTGAACGATTTCTACGCTTCATGTTACAAAGTTTGTCCACAAATCTCACAGGACACGTTCCTATTCATATTACATGTTTTTTGTTTCAGGACGACAGAGGAGGACAATGAGTGAGTTCCTGGTACCTCTCGTGATGGCCATCCATCTGATGATGTGCCCATACACCAAGGTGGAGGAGAGCTTCAACATGCAGGCGCTGCATGACATCCTCCATCACAGACTTGAAATTTCTAAGGTGAGGCCTGGAAAATTTGATGTTTTCAATTTCCTTTCAGGATGGGGAAGTTTGGTTGGCATTTCTATTTTTTTCGTCTTCTTTTTTAACACTGCAACTGTATTGGAAATCTATATCAAGTTGATGTGTGTTTGATTTACTGGTGTGTTTTCGTGTTTGTTTCTTTTGTTTTGTCAAGAACAGTCCTACTGAATGTGCTGAAAACAATTTTGGTTCGTTCAGGTAATCGGAACTACCACCTCTTTTTGTGGCCAAATGCCGTATAAATTTAATAACAGTAATAGGCCATTTATATTTCCACACCACTCACGGGCATGCCTAAAGTGGTATTATTACCCCAGTCACAGGATCAGGGTGCACCACTCAACAATCATTCTCAGCTCCCTGGGGAGTATACAACCCTAGCTGCCTGTTAGGTACTAGAAGGTTAACAACCACATTGCCAGCTCATCCTACCGGGTACCCATTAACTGCTTGGTGGACAGAGGCACATATCGAACAGAGTCTTTTGCCCAAGGAGACACCACATGTGTTAAATGTGGGGCAGAACTGAAGCCCTAGAAACCCTCAGGAGCCGAGCTGCTGAAACACAGGCATGTCTTTCTCTTCTTCTTGCGAGACCGTCTCCGTAGTCTAGTGGTAGAGCGTCCGCCCGGAGAGCGGAAGGTCCAGGGGTCGATCCCCGTCTGCGTCATACCAAAAGACGTTAAAAGATGGTACTTTTTGTTACCCTGTCTGGCGCTCGGCATTAAGGGGCTAAAACAAGGACTGGTCGGCTCGGAGTCAGTATACTGTGTCTGAGTGGGATATTCATGTTAAACTGCGGCATGGTATCTCAGTGAGCTAGCACTATAAATCGGCATCAGTCCGGACTAGTACAAGCATCCACACAAACACACACACTTACATGCACGTCGCTATATAAGTGCAATAATCAACGTTAAACCCCATTTCACCTCACCTCACGTCTTCTTCTTGCGACTGTTTGTGGGATAAGCTCATGGTTAAACACTGAAGACTCTGTAAGTACAGACAAACTCTACAATGTGCGAAGTTGTGATGAAAGCAGGATATCCACACAAGTAGGACTGGGATGAGGCCAAATTCGCTCCCCGGGTATCCGACCCCATAATCCGACCACTCGGAGTGATTATACTGTGTCTTGATGGTGTATCCATGTTAAATTATGGCATGATATCTCAGTGGGCTAATACTATAAAAATATGCATTAGTCCGGACTTGTACCTGCAGCCACGCACGCTTGTCATTATATATAAGTGCAATAATCTTGAACGCAATGTTAAACCTCATTTCATCTTACCAGATAGTCCTTCACCATGACTGTGGAATCTATATTTTGTGGGTATTTTAACTAACTGACCAAGTCTAGTTTGCTGATATGAAAACAGCAGAAGAGGAAAGGTTCTTTCAAGGAAAAAAAATAAAAAATTTAAAGACATGTTTTCATTGATAAGTGTTAGTCTACTCAACCGGGAACATTTTCAAGCCTTGGGTCATCAAACATTATTCCTGGGAATCCCCATGACTCACGAACAGATAGACCCAGGTAAATCCTTGTTGTGCATAACGTTTGTAATTATTACAGATAGACCCAGGTAAATCCTTGTTGTGCACAACACTTGTAATTATTACAGATAGACCCAGGTAAATCCTTGTTGTGCACAACGTTTGTGATTATTACAGATAGACCCAGGTAAATCCTTGTTGTGCACAACACTTGTAATTATTACAGATAGACCCAGGTAAATCCTTGTTGTGCACAACGTTTGTAATTATTACAGATAGACCCAGGTAAATCCTTGTTGTGCACAACACTTGTAATTATAACAGATAGACCCAGGTAAATCCTTGTTGTGCACAACGTTTGTAATTATTACAGATAGACCCAGGTAAATCCTTGTTGTGCACAACACTTGTAATTATAACAGATAGACCCAGGTAAATCCTTGTTGTGCACAACGTTTGTAATTATTACAGATAGACCCAGGTAAATCCTTGTTGTGCACAACGTTTGTAATTATTACATATAGACCCAGGTAAATCCTTGTTGTGCATAACGTTTGTAATTATTACAGATAGACCCAGGTAAATCCTTGTTGTGCACAACGTTTGTAATTATTACAGATAGACCCAGGTTAATCCTTGTTGTGCACAACGTTTGTAATTATTACAGATAGACCCAGGTAAATCCTTGTTGTGCACAACGTTTGTGATTATTACAGATAGACCCAGGTAAATCCTTGTTATGCACAACGTTTGTAATTATTACAGATAGACCCAGGTAAATCCTTGTTGTGCACAAGGTTTGTAATTATTACAGATAGACCCAGGTAAATCCTTGTTGTGCACAACGTTTGTAATTATTACAGATAGACCCAGGTAAATCCTTGTTGTGCACAACGTTTGTGATTATTACAGATAGACCCAGGTAAATCCTTGTTATGCACAACGTTTGTAATTATTACAGATAGATCCAGGTAAATCCTTGTTGTGCACAAGGTTTGTAATTATTACAGATAGACCCAGGTAAATCCTTGGTGTGCACAACGTTTGTAATTATTACAGATAGACCCAGGTAAATCCTTGTTGTGCACAACGTTTGTGATTATTACAGATAGACCCAGGTAAATCCTTGTTGTGCACAACGTTTGTAATTATTACAGATAGACCCAGGTAAATCCTTGTTATGCACAACGTTTGTAATTATTACAGATAGACCCAGGTAAATCCTTGTTGTGCACAACGTTTGTAATTAATACATATAGACCCAGGTTAATCCTTGTTGTGCACAACGTTTGTAATTATTACAGATAGACCCAGGTTAATCCTTGTGCACAACGTTTGTAATTATTACAGATAGACCCAGGTAAATCCTTGTTGTGCACAACGTTTGTAATTATTACAGATAGACCCAGGTTAATCCTTGTTATGCACAACGTTTGTAATTATTACAGATAGACCCAGGTAAATCCTTGTTGTGCACAACGTTTGTAATTATTACAGATAGACCCAGGTAAATCCTTGTTGTGCACAACGTTTGTAATTATTACAGATAGACCCAGGTTAATCCTTGTTGTGCACAACGTTTGTAATTATTACAGATAGACCCAGGTTAATCCTTGTTGTGCACAATGCTTGTAATTATTACAGATAGACCCAGGTAAATCCTTGTTGTGCACAACGTTTGTAATTATTACAGATAGACCCAGGTAAATCCTTGTTGTGCACAACGTTTGTAATTATTACAGATAGACCCAGGTTAATCCTTGTTGTGCACAACGTTTGTAATTATTACAGATAGACCCAGGTTAATCCTTGTTGTGCACAATGCTTGTAATTATTACAGATAGACCCAGGTAAATCCTTGTTGTGCACAACGTTTGTAATTATTACAGATAGACCCAGGTAAATCCTTGTTGTGCACAACGTTTGTAATTATTACAGATAGACCCAGGTTAATCCTTGTCGTGCACAACGTTTGTGATTATTACAGATAGACCCAGGTAAATCCTTGTTGTGCACAACATTTGTAATTATTACAGATAGACCCAGGTTAATCCTTGTTGTGCACAACGTTTGTAATTATTACAGATAAACCCAGGTTAATCCTTGTTGTGCACAACGTTTGTAATTATTACAGATAGACCCAGGTTAATCCTTGTTGTGCACAACGTTTGTAATCATTATGATTCTCCTCTGTCTGCAGTATGATCATCTAGAGTTCCCTGGCGTAGTACCCCGTAGTTTTCTGGGGTCTTTGTTTGTGGCTGCAGTTGCCTCCCCTTGGGCTCACCTCTCCCAGCTCCTGAATGGAAACAAGCTTTTCTTGCAGTACCTTGGTGAGTTCAGAACAGTTTACAGTGCAGCCAGGTCCAGCAAAATCTCACTTAACATTACAAGCCTTATTCAAATCCAGTGCAGCTGTTCAAGCAATGATGCAAAAATCAAATTCTGTTAAGTTTGTATTGGACAGACTTGATTGTAACTATGACAACAGAAAGAGGATCTCTCTGATGCTTATAGGCTCAAAAGCAAGACTGTCATCATACAAATTTAGCAATAATTTGTAATAAATATGATGATGGGGTCTTCTATCACAAATTTGGTAATGTGAGACTTTTAAAAAATAATAATTTCCTTCTGCCTTAAAGTATTTTAAGTTTAAAATTTTGAGTTTAAAACTCAATAGAAAAAGGTATATTTTTTTAAAAATCAATGTTTTGGCAAAATTAATTCACCATTAGTACATGCCTGTATCATGTTCTTCTGTTTCTTAAGTTGATATAAGTTATTACTCATTCATCTGTTATTAATATTGATAATGAAATGGATAAATTTAATTTCAATTTGAACAAAGTGGTTTTATATTTTTATGTTTATGTTTTTATGGTTCTTTCATGTCTATATTTGTCTATATACAGTGTGTTATTTCAACAGTTTTACATTCCAGTCCGTGGTTGTCTTGGCTTTGTTGTGTCCGTGAGCTTCCTGACCTTCTGCCGGGCTGTCCAGACCCGGTTCGGTCCCGGTGTGAAGTTCTGGCTGATCGCCACCACCATCACCCAGTTCCACTTCATGTTCTACATGTCCAGGCCGCTGCCCAACGTGTTCGCCCTCGTCCTAGGTAACACACAGACTTCTAGCTGTAGTCACATCTACCTCTGTGTACATAACTAGGCCCCTGCCCAACCTGTTCGCCCTCGTCCTAGGTAACACACAGACTTCTAGCTGTAGTCACATCTACCTCTGTGTACATGTCCAGGCCCCTACCCAACGTGTTCGCCCTCGCCCTAGGTAACACACAGACTTCTAGCTGTAGTCACATCTACCTCTGTGTACATGTCCAGGCCCCTGCCCAACGTGTTCGCCCTCGTCCTAGGTAACACACAGACTTCTAGCTGTAGTCACATCTACCTCTGTGTACATAACCAGGCCCCCACCCAACGTGTTCGCCCTCGTCCTAGGTAACACACAGACTTCTAGCTGTAGTCACATCCACCTCTGTGTACATAACCAGGCCACTGCCCAACGTGTTCGCCCTCGTCCTAGGTAACACACAGACTTCTAGCTGTAGTCACATCTACCTCTGTGTACATAACCAGGCCCCCACCCAACGTGTTCGCCCTCGTCCTAGGTAACACACAGACTTCTAGCTGTAGTCACATCTACCTCTGTGTACATAACCAGGCCACTGCCCAACGTGTTCGCCCTCGCCCTAGGTAACACACAGACTTCTAGCTGTAGTCACATCTACCTCTGTGTACATAACCAGGCCACTGCCCAACGTGTTTGCCCTCGTCCTAGGTAACACACAGACTTCTAGCTGTAGTCACATCTACCTCTGTGTACATAACCAGGCCACTGCCCAACGTGTTTGCCCTCGTCCTAGGTAACACACAGACTTCTAGCTGTAGTCACTTCTACCTCTGTCTACACATGTTGTCATAAATCTGCATCTTCATGAAATGTATAAGGCTAATTAAGCAGTTAATATTAAGACAATATTTGCGATCTCTGATTATTGATACGATATTTTTTCAGGGCAATACTAGCACTAATATCAAACACCCATACACACCCATACACACCCATACACACCCATACACACCCATACACACCCACACCTACACCCACACCCACACCTAGCATACCCCCACGCCACCACCTCCTCCACACAATGCAATTGCATTTTGCAAATATACATAGCAAACTCTCTGCTAAGTGGCCCACAGATACAAACTTCATGTGTGTCTAACGTCACCCTGATAAATGGTCAGTAACCATGGCAATGCTTCAGTTCTCCAGGCACTGTCCAGCTGGCTGAGACAACAGCACAGTCACTTCCTGTGGTTCTCTGGAGCAGCCATTATCATCTTCCGTGCGGAGCTCGTCATGTTCCTCGGCCTCATCCTGCTGGCAGACCTTGTCATGGGGCGCATGCCTCTCCGGAGGTTCTTCTCCACCGTCGCCATCGCAGGTCCGGTGTTGCTAGGTGAGTGTAGGTTCTTCACCACTGTCGCCATCACTGGTCCGGTGTTGCTAGGTGAGAGTAGGTTCTTCACCACTGTCGCCATTGCAGGTCCAGTGTTGCTAGGTGAGTGTAGGTTCTTCTCCACCGTCGCCAACGCAGGTCTGGTGTTGCTAGGTGAGTGTAGGTTCTTCTCCACCATCGCCATTGCAGGTCCAGTGTTGCTAGGTGAGTGTAGGTTCTTCTCCACCGTCGCCATCGCAGGTCTGGTGTTGCTAGGTGAGTGTAGGTTCTTCACCACTGTCGCCATCACTGGTCCAGTGCTGCTAGGTGAGTGTAGGTTCTTCTCCACTGTCGCCATCGCAGGTCCAGTGTTGCTAGGTGAGAGTAGGTTCTTCACCATTGTTGCCATCGCAGGTCCAGTGTTGCTAGGTGAGAGTAGGTTCTTCTCCAGCGTCGCCATCGCAGGTCCAATGTTGCTAGGTGAGTGTAGGTTCTTCTCAACCGTCGCCATCGCAGGCCCAGTGTTGCTAGATGATTGTAGGTTCTTCTCCACCATCGCAATCGCAGGCCCAGTGTTGCTAGGTGAGTGTAGGTTCTTCTCCACCGTCGCCATCACAGGTCCAGTGTTGCTAGGTGAGTGTAGGTTCTTCTCCACCGTCGCCATCGCAGGCCCAGCTTTGTATTAATGTTTTGTGTTTCAGGCCTGACAGTGTGTGTTGACTCAGTGATATGGCTTCAGTGCTGCATAGAACTGTATTAATGGCCCTGTGTTGTGTGTTTCAGGCCTGACAGTGTGTGTTGACTCGGTGGTGTGGCTTCAGTGCTGCATAGAACTGTATTAATGGCCCTGTGTTATGTGTTTCAGGCCTCGGTGTGTGTGTTGACTCAGTGATATGGCTTCAGTACTGCATACGACTGTATTAATGGCCCTGTGTTGTGTGTTTCAGGCCTGACAGTGTGTGTTGACTCGGTGGTGTGGCTTCAGTGCTGCATACGACTGTATTAATGGCTCTGTGTTGTGTGTTTCAGGCCTGACAGTGTGTGTTGACTCGGTGGTGTGGCTTCAGTGCTGCATAGAACTGTATTAATGGCCCTGTGTTATGTGTTTCAGGCCTCGGTGTGTGTGTTGACTCAGTGATATGGCTTCAGTACTGCATACGACTGTATTAATGGCCCTGTGTTGTGTGTTTCAGGCCTGACAGTGTGTGTTGACTCGGTGATGTGGCTTCAGTGCTGCATACGACTGTATTAATGGCTCTGTGTTGTGTGTTTCAGGCCTGACAGTGTGTGTTGACTCGGTGATGTGGCTTCAGTACTGCATACGACTGTATTAATGGCCCTGTGTTGTGTGTTTCAGGCCTGACAATGTGTGTTGACTCGGTGATGTGGCTTCAGTACTGCATACGACTGTATTAATGGCTCTGTGTTGTGTGTTTCAGGCCTGACAGTGTGTGTTGACTCGGTGATGTGGCTTCAGTACTGCATACGACTGTATTAATGGCTCTGTGTTGTGTGTTTCAGGCCTGACAGTGTGTGTTGACTCGGTGGTGTGGCTTCAGTACTGCATACGACTGTATTAATGGCCCTGTGTTGTGTGTTTCAGGCCTGACAATGTGTGTTGACTCGGTGATGTGGCTTCAGTACTGCATACGACTGTATTAATGGCCCTGTGTTGTGTGTTTCAGGCCTGACAGTGTGTGTTGACTCGGTGGTGTGGCTTCAGTACTGCATACGACTGTATTAATGGCTCTGTGTTTTGTGTTTCAGGCCTCGGTGTGTGTGTTGACTCGGTGATGTGGCTTCAGTGCTGCATACGACTGTATTAATGGCCCTGTGTTGTGTGTTTCAGGCTTTACTGTGTGTGTTGACTCGGTGGTGTGGCAGCGCTGGTTGTGGCCGGAGGGGGAGGTGTTATGGTACAACACCATCCTCAACAAGAGCTCCGACTGGGGGGTATCCTTGTCACAGTGTATTCAAACAGTCTCACACATTCAGACAGGGTTTTTTGGAGAGCGAAACTGTTCGCTGGCAACATAGTCATAAATTGAAATCAAGATTCTTGAATTCATTGACCCATGAAGATTCCGGGAATGAATAGGTCTTCAGCAACCCATGCTTGCCGTAAAAGGTGACTATGCTTGTTGTAAAAGGCGACTAATGGGATAGGGTGGTCAGGCTCGCTGACTTGGTTGATGCATGTCATCGATCCCAATTGGAAAGACGATGTCTGAATCTCCAACAAGGCAGAGCGACAACATGTGGGCAGTTAAAGTGAACAACGTATAGTGCAGCAATGTCCTTTTATACACCCAAAGAAAATTATAGTGAAACCCCGCGACATACGTCAATCAGGTTGAAACAAAGGGATCTTCCTCATCCGCAGACTTGCCATAAAAGGCGAATTTTTTACTTATCCTGCATTACTCCTTAATGCATTCACTGCTTACCTTACGACAAAAAAAACTGGGACAGCTAACCGGCGATGGTCCTTGGGTGAATTATTCTGTTCACAATCCAACTTTTATATCCCGCCGTCGCTGTCCCGGTGATCACGTGACCAAAGGTCAACTCTTCACATCACTGCCTGTCGCGACATAGCTAGGACGTTTCCAGCGGAGCTCTCGTTTTTTTGGATTTATTTAGGCTTTCCATTCGTCTACCATTCTAAAATTCTTCTGCGATGGGTGATGTATACCTTTCATATTACTTTCAACATGTTGTGAAGTTGTATTTGATGTTTTGAGGCGGAAAAAGAGACGTGTCTTTTTTCCCGCCACGTGCTATCTGTTCCCCGCCATTTTGAATTGTGTTACAATTGTTTGCTTGGTAAAGGTAGTCAATTGTTTACAATTATCGGCTAGGTATGTATAACATATTTCATATGTTGTTTTCAATACTTCTAGCTTTGGCGGTTCATTGAGTTGCGTATATTCAAGCATTTATACACTATCAACTCGTTCAAATATTTTGCCGAGAAATTATCTACGGCAGTAAATTCCAGTCCCGTTTTCTTCTAGTATATTATTGCGTAACTTATGCTTGCGCGTTGTACTAATTGTCGTGGGAAAAAATCTATTCAAGATCCTCACCCACGTTGTTTGTCATGTACACAAATTTGTGCACCAAATTCTAAATGTGTTTTTTGTAAAAACCTCTCTCCAAAGAGTTTCGCGAGGTATAGGCAAGTCACTCACAAACGTATTTTGCAGCAATCACGTCTTGAGAAAAGGAAAATGTCTCTATCGCTATCGCAAATGAGCGAGGGACAGGATTCGATCATTACGACGCAACCTTTATCTATGAGGGATAATAGGTCGGCCGTAACTGTCACCGCGGAGGTGCACATGCCACCGGAATCTTCTCTCCCGGAGAATGTTGGGCGTATTATAATTGCACCTAATTTGGAGAATTCTACATCTGTTACGTATGCAGACAGTGCGCCAGCGTCTCAAGATGCGTTGTCGGGGATAGCGCCAAGCCAAGCTAGACTCAAGTCTACTCCATTGAGCATTGCGCCTCATATGCCTGCGCCGAGCGCAGCCAAGCCCTACTACCCAAGCGCTTCTACAATGACTTCAGCCCAAGGGTTATCAGCGTATGATATTACGCAACCAGCGCACGATCAGCTTAGCGCTGTACCAATGTATCCAGCGCAGGCGCCTATGCCAATTCCAAACACTAATTGGATGCAAAATTTTCTACAATCAATGTGGCAGCAGTCTATGACACAACTGTATCCTACGCCTGCGCCTATGCCTATGCCTACGCCTTCGCCTATGCCTACGCCTACGCCTATGCCTTTGCCTACACCTATGCCTATGTATCAGACACCTGCATCAACTACATCTACGGCACATATTTTACCGCCTACTCCAGTGACTAATGTGTATAACACTCCTATTATGAGTCATAATACAGTACATTCTTCGTTGAGTAGTACCAGTACACCTGCCCGTACTTGGACATCAACTCATGATTCCTTGTCACCAGGCAGTTCATCTAAGCCCTCGGTCAGAGGTAATATTGCACATCGGAGTAGAAGTCGTTCACCATCAAGACGTACACATCAACGTCGTTCTGATTCATCAGATGGTTCTAATGGTGAGGAGGGAGATTCCGCGAACGAATGGAATACTCACCTTAGCCTGGCTCAAGTACCTGATTGGGTAGCTGACCGCCTCATTTCAGTACCTTCCCCGGGTAGTGGGGTAGATAAAAAAGATACTATTTGGACACATCCTACGTCGATTCCGATTGACCCTATGATGTCAGATATGATTAGATCTTTGGATGAGGACTTCTCCAAGCTCACACTTACACCGTCATTCAGACCTCCCAGGTTTAGGAAGGATGAATTTCCTATTCATGGCTTTGAGGCAGCAAACCAGGCACATAGTTTGGATGAGGATATACACAGAATGACAGGCTCGTCAAGGCCTACCACTCTTAAGGTTCAGGATACCAGAGTTGCGTTTATTGAAACAGAAATCCGAAGGGTATTAAAACCTTTAGCAGCATTAGCATCGTCTACTCGGGCGGTAGAGCAGGATCTGTCAGAGGATAATCCTAACAGACTAGATCACCTCCAAACTATAGTTGATTTTCAACAGCGTCAGATTGACCATATAAGAAATCATCTTAAAGCTGCGTTGGCAGAAATAACTGTCACTCGGAGATTGGGTTATTTAGCCTTATCTACTTGGGACTCAGAGTTTAAACGTAGATTGCTACGTCAACCTTGGTCTTCATCATCTCTGTTCAACGAACAGATTTCAGACACACACGCTAAGGTTTCCAGTTACGCTAGGGATGAAACAGCACTCAAGGCTTTGGAGCATGTTTCTCAAAATTTTTCCCAGCGATCGGGCAAGTCAGGCAACTACAGGCCTAGACGTGAGTCGCTTAAGGAAGGACAGGTGCAAGATTCTTTTCGTGGCAAGGGGCGTGGCAGAGGAAAACCCCAGGGTTCTTATCAATCCCGACGTGGTAAATACCACAGTAAGGGAGGTGATAGGAGGGGCAAACATTGAAATGTTAGACAGTCACGACTGGGATCTCCTACCCCCAGTTGTCCCAATTGTCGATACCCCTGTAGGCGGGAGACTGAATCGGTTTTGGAAGAACTGGAGCATCCTCAGGGACGATTATGTTCTCAACATTCTACGCCACGGTTACCAACTAGACATAGAGGTTTTTCCTCCGTTGACCACGGCACCCATTCCGGGGAATTATCCAAGGAAGCAACATGTCCTTTTAAAGGCCAACATAGACTTACTATTGGAGAAAAGAGCCGTAGAGATTATACACACCCCAGCGCTAACTCCGGGATTTTATTCTCACATCTTCCTGGTACCCAAGAAGGGCTCAGACAAGATGAGAATGATACACAATCTCTCTGTTTTCAACGAGCTCTATCTGAAGCGTCCACCCTATTTCCGCCTCATTACATTGAGACTACTCAGAACCAGCATAAAAGCATTCGATTCCTTGATCAGTATCGATCTACAGGATGCATATCTGCACATACCGATTCATCCCAAAGATCGCAGATTCCTCAGGTTCCAGTTCAATGGGGTCCACTACCAGTGGGCAGTACTCCCATTTGGCATTTCAGTGGCCCCGTGGCTATTTACACGAATAATGAAGCCCATAACTGTGTTTCTACAACTGAGGAACATTTGGTTCCAGTCGTACATAGACGACTGTCTCCTGTGTCATCAACACACACCGACGTTAATATGTCACCGGGAATTCACCAGAAGACTACTATATCAACTGGGTTGGATAGTCAACGAGGCGAAATCGGAGTTAACTCCATCATTTCGACTCCAGTTCATAGGAGGACTATTTCAAACAGATCAGAACCTCCTGTCGGTTCCCAGGGACAGATGGCACAAGATTTTACGCCTCCTGTCACCTGCTCTTTGTCAACCACGCACACTTCACCAATGGCAAGTGTTGCTAGGGTTACTCACCTCAGCCCAGGACCTAACCAACAGAGGCCGATTACAGGTACGCCCAATACAACAATTCCTGAATCCCTACATCAGGAGTCAGGATCCACTCAGGGCCATCATGCTACCAACGAATTTGAGACCTTATCTCCGTTGGTGGACGATAGAGTCGAATGTCTTAGGAGGAATCTCTTTATCAGGGTTGTCCCCGAATCTACACCTATTCGCAGACGCCTCCCTTCAGGGGTGGGGTGCTCACCTACAAGACCAGACAGTCTCAGGGCTATGGTCAAGCGCTCATCGGAAATGGCACATAAACAATCTGGAGTTGGAAGCCGTAATTCTAGCCATATCCCATTGGCAGAATCAACTACAATCAACCCAACTATCCATATCCACAGACAACAGCACTGTGGTGTGGTGCCTGCGCAATCAGGGAACAACACACTCCAACTCGCTACTTCAACAGACATTCAGGTTTTTCCATCTAGTGGATCGGCTGCAACTACAGTTCATAGTTCAGCACATCCCCGGATGTCGAAATATTCTGGCCGATGCTCTATCACGCCCAGACAGGGTAGCACCCACCGAGTGGAAACTTCACACAGAAGCATTCCAATTATTGGTTCGGAAGTTCGGGCAACCAAACATCGACCTGTTTGCAACTTGCCAAAACCACCAACTTTTGACATATGTTTCCCCGTTACCAGATCCGAAGGCTTGGGCGGTGGACGCATTCAGCATTCCTTGGGAAGGAATAAAGGCGTATGCATTTCCGCCACCAGTTCTACTTCCCAGGGTAATACAAAAGATCCAAGAGACAAGAACACTTGCTCTGACTTTGGTCGCGCCCTGGTGGCCAGCGAGAGGGTGGTTCGTCGAGCTCAGGAAGCTAGCAGGAAACGATCCACTACACCTTCCACAGTGGTCCAACCTACTAATCCACCCTCACAGCAAATTGCCTCATCCAACACCAGACAAATTTCGTCTGCACGGTTGGTTCGTCTTAAAAAGGCATTAAGTGCCAAAGGCTATTCGGATTGGGCAGCAAAAGCTATAACCTTAGCTCATCGTCCCTCTACTAGAAGCCTTTACGATGATAAGTGGGGATCATTTGAGACTTTTTGCAAGGCAAAAGGTCAAGATCCTACTACGGCGTCACCTCAGTTTTTAGCTGAATACCTCCTACATCTGCGTACCCAGAGACACTTGAAAGGTAGCACCATTACCACGTACTTGGTTGCACTTAACTCAGTGTTGGCCGTTCCGGATAATCGTAAGATTACTAAGATCCCGGAACTACAGGCCTTATTACGCTCTTTTAGGCTTGAGGATCAGAAGACCAAGTTCCGCCCACCTGCGTGGGATCTGAACGTGGTACTTCGAGGTTTGCGAGGACCCCCATTTGAGCCCCTCAATGCATCCTCATTTTATGACCTCACCAAGAAAACAATGTTTCTCTTGGCATTAGCCACAGCGGCACGGGTGAGCGAATTACATGCAATCGACATCACCCGGGTTCGTTTTGAGCATGGGACGCACGGAGCGGTACATCTAGGGTTGTGCTGGGATTTTATTGCCAAGAATCAATTACCAGGCCAACCTGATCGTTCCTTCACCATTCCACCAATCTCGACGATTGTGGGCAGTGAGGATGAGGGTGAACTTCTATTATGTCCGGTACGGGCACTGCGAATTTTCATCCGCCGTTCCAAGACTAGGCGTGGTTCGAGGAAGCGGTTATTTATACCCGTATCTGCTACATCCACGACCGAGGTCAGTCGCAACACCATATCCTTATGGTTACGCGCAGTCATCCTTCAGGCTTATTCGATCGCCAATTTGGATCCACCAAGAACGAATAATCCTCATGAGATCAGGGCATTAGCCTCTACCATGGCCTTACACAGCAATTGTACTATCAAGACAATCATGGAAGGATGTTTTTGGAGGTCTGACACAGTTTTCGCTAGTCATTATCTTCGCGATGTGACTCTCGAGGACATTGAAGGTGTACGCAGTTTTGGGCCGTTGGTTGTAGCTCAGCAAGTCACCAACCCTCGACGCAAATAATATACACGCCCTATACAGAGCCTTTTCCTGTTCGGTGTTATTGATCAGATTTCGCCAAGGGAAGACAAGTTATTGTCATCAGGGCTATAATTATATAGTAAGTAAAGATTTGGCTGAGCAGCTCGTTGTCTTTATTACTAAAATGTATAGGGAACTATTCTTTAATTCCCATGTGCAATTGTTTGCCACATTGTAATACCCTACCGTATAAGCGTTTTTTCTCAACTTTTCCGCTTAACGGGTTACTGACTAATCTGTGTCAGGTGTCAGGGTGTGAATTATTGAGGTTTCTGTATTGAGGATTTCCCACCTCCATACCGTCCGATACAGATGCATTAAGGAGTAATGCAGGATAAGTAAAAAATTTAGTAAAATCTAAATATTTTTTACATTTGTATACTTATCCTGCATTACTACGTTTAAGGCCCACCCGTCGCAGACTTGCCTCCCCACTTTGGCTTCAGAAACCTCAAAAGTATGTTTTTTTAAGCTCGTGCGACAGGCAGTGATGTGAAGAGTTGACCTTTGGTCACGTGATCACCGGGACAGCGACGGCGGGATATAAAAGTTGGATTGTGAACAGAATAATTCACCCAAGGACCATCGCCGGTTAGCTGTCCCAGTTTTTTTTGTCGTAAGGTAAGCAGTGAATGCATTAAGGAGTAATGCAGGATAAGTATACAAATGTAAAAAATATTTAGATTTTACTAAATTTGCTTGTTATAAGAGACAAGTAACGGGTGGTCAGACTTGGTTGATGCATGTCATCGTATCGAAATTGCGTGGATCGATGCTCATGGTGTTTATCACTTGATTGTCTGGTCCAGACTTGATTATTTACAGATCGCCGTCATATAGCTGGAATATTGCTGAGTGCGGCGTTAAACATTAAACCAAACCAAACCAAACCAATTCTTGAATTCATTGACCCATGAAGATTCCGGGATAGAATAGGTCTTCAGCAACCCATGCTTGCCGTAAAAGGTGACTATGCTTGTTGTAAAAGGCGACTAATGGGATAGGGTGGTCAGGCTCGCTGACTTGGTTGATGCATGTCATCGATCCCAATTGGAAAGACGATGTCTGAATCTCCAACAAGGCAGAGCGACAACATGTGGGCAGTTAAAGTGAACAACGTATAGTGCAGCAATGTCCTTTTATACACCCAAAGAAAATTATAGTGAAACCCCGCGACATACGTCAATCAGGTTGAAACAAAGGGATCTTCCTCATCCGCAGACTTGCCATAAAAGGCGAATTTGCTTGTTATAAGAGACAAGTAACGGGTGGTCAGACTTGGTTGATGCATGTCATCGTATCGAAATTGCGTGGATCGATGCTCATGGTGTTTATCACTTGATTGTCTGGTCCAGACTTGATTATTTACAGATCGCCGTCATATAGCTGGAATATTGCTGAGTGTGGCGTTAAACATTAAACCAAACCAAACCAAACCAATCTTGAATTCATTAACAGACGGAATGTCAAGCACTGTAGACATTGTTCCCAACAGCAATTTGGATTCTGGTACTCATTTCAGAATTAGGTGTAGAGAACTCTTAATGTTTGGACTGGGGACATTGTACGGGGACAGGGAACCCATTGATTTACGGTGCTGCAACTTGACTTGCAGAGTTGTGTCCCTTAGATGTGCAAGGATCTACTGGGCACGGGTTTCAAATTGAAGTTGAAACTTTCAATCTTAGATAATTCTAGGTTCATTCACATCGTGCTGTTAGTACCAACGCATGGGTTTTCAATGATATAACTGAATAGTGTTCAATGAGGAAGTATCGAAAGAGGCGACTAATGAGATCGTGTGGTCAGGCTAGTTGACTTGGTTGATTCATGTCATCATATCCCAATTGCGTGGATCGATGCTCATGATGTCAATCACTGGATTGTCTGGTCCAGGCTCGATTGTGACTGCTGTCATATAGCTGGAATATTGCTGAGTGCGGCGTTAAACAACAAACAAAAACAAAACAGTGAAGCAGTAACTCTAAGAAAGGGATGCATCAGCGAGAAGAATGAAGCACATGGACTCAATCCCATACTTGGAAGTGCAGGGCAGGTCACACGTATGCTTCTAGAATATGAACAGTACTGACACAGCAGTCAGCCCGGGGAGACAACTCTTAGCTGACTGTAGAGGTGCAATCATATAAACATAACAATGCCAACATAACGTAACAACAAATATTTTCTGTTTAGGTTTCCCGATTCCTTAAATTTATGCTCGTATGGAAGAGAAAATGCACAAAATAGGTTAGCAGCAAAAGTGTACGTGGCAACAAAGAACTTGTGCATGATTTAATGCCTTTTGATTCCTAGTAGGGTGAAACGATACAGCAAGGTCATGATATGGTACGTATCATGATACATTTATGCCAGATGGCATGGAAACTTCTTGAAAATAAATATTCCAGAGCAGGTTCAACAGGAAAGTGTATGGAAGTGTATGTCTTGTATCCATACAGAGAAAAGCGTATCGTGTATTGTATTGTCGCGTGAATACTCATGATGCACCTGTGCACCGATTAGGGCTGGGACGGGTAACTCGGGTACCCGGGTGTGATGGGTACTGAGTAGGACCCGGGTACCCACAGGACTACCCTGACCTGTGGTTAGTCACATGATATATTGTTTAATGACAAAAATTATATTGAACTACATGGTTACACTACAAGCCACTAATGTTCGCATTTCTTTCTGACTATGCGCCCATTCCTTCTGATTTTTTCATATGGTTGAATAAAGATATAACTTAATTCAGCTTCAGTGTATGAATGACCAGATTGTTTAATACATGTATCTAAATACGTGTTGCCAGGGCTATGCTAAAAATGTTCCCAATCGGACATTTTGAGACATCTCCTGAGACCTACAGTGGGTACCCGGGTAGGGTCGGGTAACGGGGGTGGGTACCCGGGTAGTAAATTTGGACTCGTCCCAACCCTAGCACCGATGTATCGTTGCACCCCTAATGCGTAGTTTTGTTCCATTTTTTATTCATTTAATTTTGAACACAGACATTTACCTCAATAGCCCGTCAAATTGCTGGAAATTACGTAAAAGATGTACACAAGATTAAACATGATCATCGTAGTCTTCCTTCACTGGATCAGACATCCCCGTTTCTGTGGTACTTCTACTCCGCCCTGCCACGCGCACTCTCCTTCAGCATGCTCCTCGTCCCCGTCGGACTGTACTTCACACGGCAGGTGTGGATGCTCCTCTGGCCGGCCTTGACCTTTGTGCTGCTGTACTCCTTCCTGCCCCACAAGGAGCTGCGATTCATCATCTACGTGTTCCCCATGCTCAACGTGGCCATTGCCTGCGCCCTGTCACGACTGTAAGTCAAGTGTTGTGGACTTCGAAACAGCAAACAGGCAACTGGAATAACAGCTTTTAGACCCTGAGTTTTTCTGCTCCTTTTAGCAATATCATGGCAGGGGACACAAAAATAGTCGTTTGTTGTGACAAGTGAACTCTCAAACAACAAGACTACCCCAAGAGACTTTTTGAGTAATTGCGTGTTTCTTTTAGTTTCGATACATGAAATTTGTAAAAGGAAAAGGAGGTCTATTTTAATGAAATTGAATATAGAATGAATTCACTCATCTCATTCTGTTTAATAAAATGTTCTGTCTCAATGTGGCTCAGAAAGAAAATGGTAATCAGCAGAAATACACAGTGATTAGTCCACAATATGGTCTACCTTTTTTCAACCCATCAGATTTGCCCTATGCTGCTAATCATGTAACAAAGGACATGCTATCAGGCTAATAGCATCAAAAGTTGACTCAAAACCTGTCTGCATGTCCCCTGATTCCCATTGTTTGTGAGTAAGCTGGTAGTAACTCTAATTTTCAGATGGCAGAACCAAACCAAGTCTATTCAACGGTCACTGTTGGCACTTGGCACCTCTTGTCTGTTGCTGGGCAACCTTTGTTCTACGGCAGGTTTCCTGTACATCTCCCGCCAGAATTACCCAGGAGGCCTAGCAATGTTGGTGTTGCACCATGTAGAGGTGGAACGTGGTATGTATGTCTTGGGAGTCGATATGAAGCTCAAAAATACTGATGTCACCAATTTTAACTCATCCATATCTGCTTCTCATTTAGATGAAATCTTTGATTCGGATGTGATGCTTCTCTCCACCAAGATCTGACCAAACCCTTCATAGTTCATGTCAGGTCACAGGAACTCGATGATAGCGTGTATAACATAATATATTTGTATGGAAAATAATCCCATCCCTCTATATACATATAGACAAGGAGTGACACCCGCCATCTTTGTCCTTATTCAAGATTTCGCACTCGGTTCGAATCACAGCTCGATATTGCATGAAATATGAATGTCACTTATTTCAACCTATTGGAACTTGCTACACAAACCATAGTATCCACAATCGTGTTTATCTGTGGTCACCTTACCTCGTATTTATTATAAAACAACCATACGTGACAAATGTTGGATACTTGGGTAATTTAATGGCCTTACATGACAAATGTTGGATAATGGAGTAATTTTAAAGGCCTTACGTGACAAATGTTGGATACTGGAGTAATTTTAATGGCCTTACGTGACAAATGTAGGATAATGGAGTAATTTTAAAGGCCTTACGTGACAAATGTTGGATACTGGAGTAATTTTAATGTCCTTACATGACAAATGTTGGATAATGGAGTAATTTTAATGGCCTTACATGACAAATGATGGATACTGGAGTAATTTTAACGGCCCTACATGGCAAATGTTGGATAATGGAGTAATTTTAATGGCCTTACATGACAAATGATGAATACTGGGGTAATTTTAATGGCCTTACATGACAAATGTTGAATACTGGGGTAATTTTAATGGCCTTACATGACAAATGTTTGATACATGGGAAATTTTAATGGCCTTATATGACAAATGTTGGATACTGGGGTAATTTTAATGGCCTTACATGACAAATGTTGAATACTGGGGTAATTTTAATGGTCTTGCATGACAAACATTTGGTATTGGGACAAACAGTAGCGGCCCTGAAACTATTATTTTTCTGTTGGTAATTGTGTGAACTCATGACCTTGTTTCAGATGTGAATGTCCACATAGGTGTATACGCTGCACAGACTGGAGTGACCAGGTTCACGCAGGCCCATGACCACTGGAGGTAGGTCATTTAGTGCGCTGGCTGCAGGTGTTTCAGTGTATTACGTATGGGTTGGTATTTTTTGTCGTTCAACGGCGACTTTTAACAAATCGGGTCTGGACCAGACAATCCAGTGATTGATATTGTGGGCATGTTCCCGAGGCAAGGGAGGTATCTGACCATAAAAGTCCACTTTCCACCCTTGCCGAACTAGGCTGGAATTATAGAGTTATATTTTCACTGGACTAATGAGTGTATGCATTGCCTCCCACATCAAGCTGACATGCTGTGATATAAGTGGAATACTGCTCATTTCAAATCAAACTTAAGTTTGTTCATGTCTGTCAAACTTATAAATCTTAGGGCTCATAAGCCCACTAACTTGCTTCATACCAAACTCTTCATGGCCCATGCAACTCAGTGTCCAGTTGCAGTCGAGGGTATTACATAGACTAGCATTACATATAACAGTATTACATAGAATCGGTCAAACGCAACCCATGCTCTCTGAACTGATCGATGCATCTCTTGCATTCCAATTGCGTAGATTTATTCTACGTTGTTATATTTTGTCGTTTCTGTCTTTCGGGAAAGCGACTATGCTTGTCGTAAGAGGCGACTAATGGGATCGGGTGGTTGATGCATGTTATCATATTCCAATTGCGTAGATCGATACTTGTGATGTCATTCACCGGATTGTCTGGTCCACACTTGATAATTAACAGCCATCATATAGCTGGAATATTGCTGAGTGTGGCGTTAAACAAATAAACAAACAAAAAAGGACAGTCACTATTCATTGTATTGAGGTTTACAAGATGGCAACTGACCAATCAGAAAGCTGGATTCCTTAACGAGTATTGATAAATCTTGTTCCAGGTACAACAAGACAGAAGGCCTGCGACCAGGTGGAGAGGTGATGAAGAGCTTCACCCATCTGCTGCTAGGTCTGTCAGATGACAAGGAAGAGCTGAGGCCATACAGAAACTCTCATTATAACATCATGGAAGTTTCAGCCTTTCAAAAAATTGGTTTTAAATGGAATCAGTTTCCGCCATTAGAGATTATTACCAAACCAAGAATTGCAATACTAAAACGAAAAACTTGATGTATGTGTGAATAAACGTGATGGTAGGAGTTATCATTGGTGTTCCTGTATGGCGGACTGATGCACATGTACTGTCAAGCAAAAGTTAAGCACCACCTTGACAAAATGTCAGTCTCACATTGTGATGTTTATGAAACATAAATGTTTAGTTTATTTGATTTCTGAGCAATCTTGCGAAGATGGTTAATTTTAGAAAAGATTTAATGTTATCTACTTGAAATGACATTTCATTTTATTCAGGCAGTACTTAACTTTGCATAGGTGTATTCATCAATTGTTTTCAATTCTTATCTCACAAGGACTGAAAAGTATCACAAATGTATCACATTTTATCACATCTGGATCACGCACAATTACAAGGCAGTTTGTATCACAGACAGAACTAGATGGTCTGTCATGGATGCCCCAGTCGTCTAAGTCGCTGCAATTGGCTGTGCGGAGTTGCGTCCCATGGGCACACCAGAAACCTATGATTGTGGGTTCGAATCCTGGTTCTCACCGATTATGTTTATAGGTTTGTCAGCACCATACCCGTGCTCGTAGATTTCACCGAAGTGGTAAACGTCTGAGACCTGCATCACTTCGGGCTTTCCTCCCACATTAAGCTGACACGCCGTAACGTAACTGGAATACTGTTAAAAGCGGCATTAAGCCCAACTCACTCACTAGCTCACTGTATCATATCTCCCCACCAGTTCAGAACTGGACACTTTCTAGAAGGACTAGCAATTTAAAAAAAAATCAAATTCTTAAATATCAATACTGTTTTTCATAATCCTTTGAAAATGAAGTAATCTAATACCCTCAGATTAACTCTCCCAGCACAGCTCTGTCCTGTGTACAGCCACTGTCAATCAGAGATCATTCGACAGTAGGTTCATTTTGACCACACTAGATGTTTCAAGGGAACACAGAATGTTTGTGATGCAAACTTACTTCCTCCTACACTGGGAGGCACCTGCTTAGTTTTTTTATAGTCACATGATATGGTTACATGATGCTGTCTTGTGTCAAGCTGGGCATAGGGAGGAACTCTGGAATGTCTGCTGACCACATGGTACCGATCTGCTGTCAGTTTGATAACAAAATATGATCCTTCTAGATCGGGACATTTTGTGCAAATTGCACTGGAGTATATTTGTAGTACAGTAGCACCAAGTCCACTTTTGGGATGGCCGTACTGGATTCCCTCAACTTAACTGTAGTCTGGCTGTACAGTTTGGGCTTCAAGCTCCAGCAAAGATGCAAAGATGGCTTAATCACATTTTTAGGCCATCATGCTATGGTGCACTGACAAACATTAAACTTTTCCTTTTGTCCCTAATACATTTTTTTGTACTTACAATTGTAAGATGGCGTCCTGTGTCCACACAAATAAATTTGATGACAGTTTATTTTGGTGTCTGTTCAAATATCAACAGACAAGCATTAGCACTTCATGTAGACAGGAACTACAGAAATACATCATTTAAGCAATGAACTAACGCTGGTATTTATTTTTAAGAGAGGCTGTGGCAGCCATATTGAAATTCAGTTCAGAAACTTAAGATTAATGCGTGCAGGTTTTCCTGCAGTTATGTTCTGTATTAACTTTTAGATTCACCAGTAATGAGGTGAGGTGAAATGGGGTTTAACGTCGCGTCCAAGATTATTGCACTTATATAGCGATGTGCGTGCGTGTGAGGTGAGGTGAGGTGAGGTGAGGTGAAAATGGGGTTTAACGTCGCGTCCAAGATTATTGCACTTATATAGCGACGTGCATGCGTGCGTGCGTGCGTGCGTGTCTAGGTTGGTAATCGAACTCGCGTCTTTCACAATGAGTGAATTTGGTTTTACATCGTTTTTAGAAATAATACAGCAATGTCACAGCAAGGAAACCAGAAATTGGCTTCACACACAGTACCCATGTTGGGTACAATGTGTGAAGACCATTTCTTGTGTCCCCCGTCGAGATATTGCTGAGATATTGCTAAAAGCGGCGTAAAACCACACTCACTTTAAGCACTTGGCTAGCCCACCACCTGGGGACAACAGAAATAGGCTTCACATATTGTACCCATGTGGCGATTCGAACCCGGGTCTTCAGTGTGAGGAATGAGCGCTTTAACATCTAGGCTACCCCATCGTCTCTTTTTGACAATGAGGAGACACTGCAACCATGAGGCTACCTTCTCGCCACATGGCCTTACTGACACATGGCCTTACTGACACATGTCCTTACTGACACATGGCTGGCCCTGATAGTAAGACACCTCAGCTCACTGTGCCCAGTTTGTTGTGCCAGAATCTGATATATGGATTCTGGGATTCGGGGTTTGTCTGTACCATACCTGTGATTGCAGGTATCACCAAACTGGTCAACATTTAAGACCTGCATCACTTTGGGCTTTCCGCATACTTGATGTCATCATACAGAGATAGAAACTACCGTATTTGACGTAATAAGCGCCCAGGGCGCGCTCAAAGTTAGAAATAGGGGACTCTTATTAAAATATTATTTTGGTGAAAAAAAACCAAGAGTTAAAAGATAAATTTCGTGGTTTATGCTGACAGCCTAAACTGTTTATATACGACAGATATATTTTTTCAGAATTTATTTGCCCATAATTAAGGGTGCATATAACACACGAGTGCGTATTCATACGCGAATAAATAAGTCTTGTGTATATTGATCAATCAGAAGGGGTGCTAATTGGGTTTGTTCACTAGCCAATATATTTTATATATTATCGCCGTGGGCGCTTATTAGATCACGGCGCTTATTACGTCGAATACGGTAACAGTTTTAGTCCACTAGTCCTTATAATGATAACAAAAAGCAAATCTCTTAAAAATGGCAATTTTCTACTGGTCCTTATGATACCTTAACTATTGGGCAGTTCGACAAGGACTAAGGGACTATCGCTGCATCATATGAATGAAATACTCCTCAAAACGGTGTTAAACTCAACTCATTAAACAGTCTTAATCTTGCATGTATTGGCAACCAGAAAACCAACCAAACTATGTTATACACAATGGAACATTTTATTAAATAATCTATGTTACACAGAAGAAATCAACCGATCTCAGAGATCAAAGTTGTAATTTCTCCATCTTTGTATGAAACGTGTTCATGCCACAGCTGAAATTTACACAACACATCCTCTCTACCACACAAGTCAGATTTACTTCTTGGCCGGTGACCAAGCCTGTACTTTAGGTTTAGTTGTACTGTAGGGAACGTATTCGTCTGATGTTGCAGACAGGTTCTCTGAGTGGTCGGACATCCATTTCCTCTGAGTGGGAGGGAGTTCCGTCGGGGGTTCGTCTCCGATGTAGTGAAGCCAGCGGTGCCTGGGGAGAAAATCAACACTTAGACACAAACGTCTACTATTTGTTGTGAGTGAGCGAGTTGGTATGGTACAGACAAACCCCAAATCCCAGAATCCATATATCAGATTCTGGCACAAACTGGGCACAGTGAGCTGAGGTGTCTTACTGTCAGGGCCAGCCATGTGTCAGTAAGGCCATGTGTCAGTAAGGCCATGTGGCGAGAAGGTAGCCTCATGGTTGCAGTGTCTCCTCATTGTCAAAAAGAGACGATGGGGTAGCCTAGATGTTAAAGCGCTCATTCGTCACACTGAAGACCCAGGTTCGAATCGCCACATGGGTACAATATGTGAAGCCTATTTCTGTTGTCCCCAGGTGGTGGGCTAGCCAAGTGCTTAAAGTGAGTGTGGTTTTACGCCGCTTTTAGCAATATTCCAGCAATATCATGGCAGAGGACACCAGAAATGGACTTCACACATTGTACCAATGTTGGGAATCGAAACCCGGGTTTTTGATGTGACGAGCGAATGCTTTAACCACCAGGCTACCCGACCGTCTCTAATGTTTGTGGTACCAACGTTACTGGCTTCAACCATTTCTGTTAGTCCTTATGATAGCTTAACTATTGGGCGGTTTGGTAAGGACTACATGACTAGTGCCAATTTCTAACACAGGTCATGTAGCTGGAATATTGCTGAGTGGCGATAAACAAACAAACCAGACACCCATATCTACTTCTACCATACAGAAACCTATCCTACCAACCATACAGACACCTACCATCTTACACGACCTTATCTGCATGACATCACAGTAAGGGCATCATCTACAGTTATTATCCCACTTGATGTGCTTCTATAGTCATACCTAATATACACCACACATACCTACCTGTCTACTGTTGCCTGTCTTGCCTATGTTTGTTTGTTTGTTGTTTAACGCTGCAGTCAGCAATAGTCCAGCCTTTTGGCAGTGGTCTGTAAATAATTTACTCTGGACCAGATAATCCAGCGATTGACATCATGAGCATCGATCCACACAATTTGGATACGATGACATGCGTCAACCAAGTCAGCAAGCCTGACCAGCCAATCCCCTTAGTCATCTCTTACAAGTATAGTCGCCTAGCTTGCCTATGTTGATACTTGATACACAACTAATATTCTGCTGGTATCTGACTTACAGACAGCCACCACACACAGTCAGACACTACCATCAAGTCAGTCACCTGGTTTATACATGTTGTTTCCTAGTATGTAGTCACCTACCATTCTGCTGGTATCTGACTTACAGACAGCCACCATACACAGTCAGACACTACCATCAAGTCAGTCACCTGGTTCATACATGTTGTTTCCTAGTATGTAGTCACCTACCATTCTGCTGGTATCTGACTTACAGACAGCCACCATACACAGTCAGACACTACCATCAAGTCAGTCACCTGGTTTATACATGTTGTTTCCTAGTATGTAGTCACCTACCATTCTGCTGGTATCTGACTTACAGACAGCCACCATACACAGTCAGACACTACCATCAAGTCAGTCACCTGGTTTATACATGTTGTTTCCTAGTATGTAGTCACCTACCATTCTGCTGGTATCTGACTTACAGACAGCCACCATACACAGTCAGACACTACCATTAGGGCAGTCACCTGGTTTATACATGTTGTTTCCTAGTATGTAGTCACCTACCATTCTGCTGGTATCTGACTTACAGACAGCCACCATACACAGTCAGACACTACCATCAAGTCAGTCACCTGGTTTATACATGTTGTTTCCTAGTATGTAGTCACCTACCATTCTGCTGGTATCTGACTTACAGACAGCCACCATACACAGTCAGACACTACCATCAAGTCAGTCACCTGGTTTATACATGTTGTTTCCTAGTATGTAGTCACCTACCATTCTGCTGGTATCTGACTTACAGACAGCCACCATACACAGTCAGACACTACCATCAAGTCAGTCACCTGGTTTATACATGTTGTTTCCTAGTATGTAGTCACCTACCATTCTGCTGGTATCTGACTTACAGACGGCCACCACACAGTCAGACACTACCATTAAGTCAGTCACCTGGTTTATACATGTTTCCTAGTATGTAGTCACCTACCATTCTGCTGGTATCTGACTTACAGACAGCCACCACACAGAGTCAGACACTACCATGAAGTCAGTCACCTGGTTTATACATGTTGTTTCCTAGTATGTAGTCACCTACCATTCTGCTGGTATCTGACTTACAGACAGCCACCACACAGTCAGACACTACCATTAAGTCAGTCACCTGGTTTATACATGTTTCCTAGTATGTAGTCACCTACCATTCTGCTGGTATCTGACTTACAGACAGCCACCACACAGAGTCAGACACTACCATTAAGTCAGTCACCTGGTTTATACATGTTGTTTCCTAGTATGTAGTCACCTACCATTCTGCTGGTATCTGACTTACAGACAGCCACCACACAGTCAGACACTACCATTAAGTCAGTCACCTGGTTTATACATGTTTCCTAGTATGTAGTCACCTACCATTCTGCTGGTATCTGACTTACAGACAGCCACCACACAGAGTCAGCCACTACCATCAAGTCAGTCACCTGGTTTATACATGTTGTTTCCTAGTATGTAGTCACCTACCATTCTGCTGGTATCTGACTGGCGTCGTAGTCCATGTTGACTGCTGGGCTGTATTCCACCCATCGACTCCGCCCTAGGGACAAAAACATTCACGTCATCATGTCAGGATATATCTTCATCCAAATGAAAAGTCGGAATCTAGTGAACATATCCTATATATTTTAATATTTTTCAACATACCATTTACCATGTCTACCTTCACTTATTTCACCATGTCTACATTCACTTACTTTTAAAAAATCTTTTGTCAAACTATCAAATTGAAATGTGTATTCTAATACACATAAATCCATTACATTATTCATGTATGTATTGAATATTGGAGAAATTTGTTTCATCATATTCATTATTACCTTATAAATAGTCTTTACCTATGATCTGATATGGCGATTCTCACTCTATCTTTTCATATCAAATATACTCAGCATCATTATTGAGAGAGAAAAAAAAGGCAACTTTTTCAACTTCAGAGAGTGCCATCTACTGGGTGTCAACAGATATTTTCCAAATCTTTTCATGTATTTAATCAAGGTGTTCAAGTGATCTTATGTCTTTCACGAGGTAAGACTTGATGTATTACAATACAGATCTTGATTATCTATGAGATCATCTTGACTGGGCATCACCATTTTGTTTGAAGCAAATGCAAGTGATATGAGAGGTGAAATCTGATTGGTCAGTAGGAGGGACGTAGAAGGGACGTAACTTGTAACAGCCACTGGTAGCCCAACAATCAAGCCTCTAAATTCCAGCCTAGGTCGGCAAGGGTGGGAACTGGACTTATTTAAATCAGTTAACTCCCTTGCCTCAGGAAGATGATGGGATCATGCATGTTTCACAGTAGTCCCTCACAAATAATTACACATACTAAGTAGCAATGCTAATACTCACCCATGAAGTACATGTTATTTTGAAAATATTTGTTTCCAAATTTATCTTCCCCTACAAGTCTGCCGGTTTTCAGCTCATCATTCCTGCAAGTAAATAAATATGGCTACAATCATTGATTGGCATAAACTGGTAGAAGAAGAAAGTGAGTGAGTGAGTGAGTATGGTTTTACACAACTTTTAGCAATATTCCAGCAATATCACGGCGGGGGACATTAGAAATGGGCTTCACACATTGTAACCATATCGGGAATCGAACCCGGGGCGAACGAATGCTTTAACCACTATGCTAACCAACCGCCCCAGAAGAAGAAAGAAACAAGCTTGGTTTAATGCTGTTATGAACAGTATTTCAGTTATATCACTTTAAGCCTGAAGTGTGTTTGTTTATTGTAAACACCATACTCAAAACAGGTGGCCCAGTCGTCTAAGGCGCCGTGATTCACTGTGCAGAGTTGCATCCCTTGGGCATGCCAGAAACCTATGATTGTGGGTTTGAATCTCGGGTTCGCCCTGATTATGTTTCTAGGTTTGTCAGCACCATACCCGTCCTCGTGGGTTTCACCGAAGTGGTAAACGTCTGAAACCTGCTGCTGATGACAAACCAAGAGATACGAATCCATTATCATAGTTTTGTGGCATGCCTAAAAGATGCAAATCTACACAGAAAATTGCTGCACCTCAGAAGAGTGGGACCATCTTACCCCCCAGAATCATAAGAATTTAATGTGGGCAATATATTATCACATTAGTAGAAAGTAGAAACAATACAACCCGTATCCATGATCAATGAACAACACAGGGCCCTTTATTCAAGTTCTGATAATGAATTTGGATTTTATAAAAAATATTAAGTCATCATGATCATAATCAGTTTATTTCAAACGATCAATCACAATCAATTGTCCTCCTTTGTATTTTCCATAAAATGTATGTTGACTTCGTTGACACTGACTTGAGATTTTAAATCTCATTCTGTAATTGACAAACTTAATTAGCTGAGTGAGTGAAAAGTATTCCAGTTATATCACAGCATGTCAGCTTAATGTGGGAGGAAAGCCTGAAGTGATGCAGGTCTCAAACAACTTGATTGGTTGCACACTGATAATAAATATGTTTTGAATTTTTGGACTACCTTTAGCATGTTTAGAATTCAGTGATAAACTTTACAATCATGTCACAACACCCTTTGACATAATTTGAGAAATGTTGTTGCCAGATACACCAGTTAACAATCGCGATGCCCTGTGTATTTTCAATATTGGACACATTTTATGAAAGCATTCATATTTTCAACATATTTCCAGCTTGTCGGTTTCAAAAGAGACCATAAAATTGATTCAAGATCTGGTTTCAACGAATTCACAGGGCTGAAGGGATCACAAAAGGGAACTAAAAAACATATATTATTTTGTCCAATCTGCAATTTTTGTTATTTCTCCGAGGAAAACAGTTTATTATGGTTGTAGGGGTCGTTGTCGGCACGGACACTACATATATATATACAGAAATGTGCTGCACACACCGACACGTCGCTGGTCAGAACACTATCTAAATGCCTCGGGACCACATCTATTGCAATGAATCAATTATTAAATCTGCGAAGACAAAAACTGATAGTTTTGAATCGGTGCCATCAGCTGGTGAACATAAAGTTGACAGTTCTAGTATACATTGAGTTTAGGCATCGCAACCAAGGTTAACAAGGTTATTACCCCGACATGCGCTACACAGCTCACGCAATTATAAATACAATACAGACTGAAATGTAAAGCATTTTCGGTTAGCCGTACTTGTAAATTTTAATGAATGCTGGTACGGGTCCACCATGTTCCTTGATTATTTGAGAGAACCTCGCAAACTTTGCGATGTACTTCGACATCTTGGAAAGTTAGCACCGCAGTAAATATACAATCATGTTTCATTTACTTAATTGGGTTAGAAATAATGAAACGTGTATAACTAGACTCCTCATAAATTACACACATCATATGTGAGTCGATTCATGCAATGATTGCTCGTATTTGGTTTTACCTTATGAATTTCGTGAATAATATTTGCTCCGTTCCTGTACTTTAAAAATGGCGTCCTTCAGTGCTGCAGGAGAAGAGGAGGACTTTGATGAAGACGATTTCATCCTGGGAAATGAAGACGTGCTGGATGATGAAAAGCCAAGGCTCCTTGGCCCAGTTAATAAAGGCCCTAACAGTAATACGAATCGAGTCAGTGAAGTTAATGACAATACTTTGATATAGATAAAGTCATTATCTTATTTGTCAACAGCTGATAATAGTTTGGGGACAAAAGTTGACGTTTTCATTTCTCTCGCTTCAGACAGTCAATACCAATATCGATTTTATCACAATCATGTCAAACATGATGAGTTGACAGTCATCACTGAAGAAAATCATCATTTCTAAATTAAGTCTACATTCTGAAACGATTCGATATTTTTGGAACAATGCAGTTTACCTGCGCAGCTTAAAATATATCGCTAATTAACTCCTGATGCCGACTGTGCTCTCGCTGCACAGATGTTGCATGCCTCTTCGATCCTTCGGGTTAGGGTAAGTTACCCCTAACCCTATCTGAGGCCTTGGACCCTGTTTCTGATCAAACACCACTTCACGATCATTAGGGTTAGGAACCTCTTTCCTATCAAAAAACCCTTCGCGATCTTAGGGTTGGTCACCACTTGCCAATCAAACACCCCTTTACAATCCTTAAGGTTCGGCACCCCAACAAACTCATGTAGCTCTGAACTTTCTGGGGCTGAATTTTTATGATTTACAATGATAGAAACATTTTTAGTCAATTAGTCCTTATGATGATAACATATGGCAAAAATAATGGAAAATTTCTACTAGTCTTTATGATGCCTTAACTATTGGGCAGTTTGGCAAGGACTATAGGACTAGTCCCAATTTCTGTCACTGGATTTAGAAGACTGTCCCATCAAATTGATAAATGTTCGGATGCCATTGGCCTCCAGCAAATCCACTTGTCATGCCAATCAATTCATCAACACAATCAACATCTGTATCCTGTATTGTTCCTATTCCAGAGGCATGTTCAAAATGGGTTTGGTGTCCCCCTTCCTTCACAAATGCCAAATAAGGACATGCGATCAACAGAGGACTTCCAAGCTGCTGCCATGAGGGGTCATACCGATGTCGTGGAACAATGTCTCCAGCAGGGTTAGTGAATGCTCAACAGAGATCAGGATTTCTATGTGTGATTCATGGGGACTCTCAAGTATAGGGGAGTCTGGGTCAGGATAGGTTCCCAGCAACCTCTGCTGGTCTTAAGAGGCGACCAATAGATGAGATGGTCAGGCTCGGTGACTTGGTTGATGATGTGGATCATTGTTCTCAATATCAATTGCTGGATTTTCTGTTCCAGACTCGAGTGTTTACAGGCTTTGTACTTTGTTTTGTTTGTTTAACGCCATACACTGAAATATTCCAGCGATAACGTATAAGACGGTAATCTTTAAAATTATCGAGTTTGGACCAGACAATCCAGTGATTGACATCATGCACATCAATCCACGAAGTTGGCATACGATGACATGCATCAACCAAGTCAGCGAGTCTGACTACCCAATCCCATTTGTTGCCTCTTTAGAAAGGATGGTCACCTTTTATGTCAAGCCTGGCTTGCTGAAGACCTATTTAATTGCTATTCTACCCCGGATCTTCATGAAATTACCATCACATAGATATGGTTTTATCCAAGAGGTAATAATGTTGTAGAATGAAGTGGACATGAGATGGGGTTATCCTATTGGACTGGAGGGTTGGCACATCACCATGAAAGTGACGTTCACAGGCATTTGAATGACACATTTTGACATTTCATGAGACTGTCTTCTGGAAATGATGCATGCTCCGACGTTCATACAGGGTGGCCCTCACTCTCTGAAGGTTCATACTCCTTCATCTTACCGAGGCAAGAGAGTTAACTCTCTATAAAAATCCAGTTTCCACCCTTGCCGAACTAGGCTGGTAGAATGGAGTTACGTTTTGGCTGGACTAACGAGTCTATGCATAGTCCAATCAGAATTGCGCACTGAAATCAGAATCCGGTTCGTAAACTGAGGAGAGGCTTAGAGGGGACATAACTGGTAATAGCCACTGGTGGCGCTGCGATCGAGCCCAGTAATTCCAGCCAAGTTTGGCAAGGGTGAAAACTGGATTTACTGTTAAAAGCTTCTTTATAACCCAACTCACTCACTCTCACAAAGTGTGAGTCCTTTCTGAAATACTGTATTCGACATAATAAGCGCCCAGGGATCTCTCTCTCAAAATTAGAAATCGGGGGCTCTTATTAGAATATAATTTTGGTGAAAAAAATAGAGTTGAAAGATCATAAATTTTGTGGATTTTGCTGACAGCCTGAAATGATACAAAAGAAAAGTCTGTGTGTTTTATACACGACAGATATATTTTTCCAGAATAATTAAGGGTGCATATATTATATATAACACAAAAGTGCATATTATACACAAATAAATAAGTCTTGTGTACATTGATCAGTCGGAAGGGGTGCTAATTGGGATTGTTCACTAGCCAATATATGAGCAAATATCGTTGTGGGCGCTTATTAGAGCTGGACACTTATTACGTCGAATACGATACTCTTCTACTTCATGGTGATGTGTTCAGAGATGATGTTGACCTAATTGTCTGTTCACATTATGTTTCAGGAATGAATGTTGATGAAGTATTAAAATGTGGATGGACGGCCCTCATGTACGCTGCCAACTCATCGAATCCAAAACTTGTCCGGTTTCTGCTCGACAAGGGAGCCAATCCAAATTTTGATAAAGGTACTCTTTATCGATTGTTATGTGAGTCCAAGGATCAATGTTTAATTGTTCAATTACTGAAATATTTTGGTATTGCAGGGTTTCACCAAACCTTTGCAGACTGAGAGTCATCATGACTCACTGCATATATTTTAAAGAGTCACGAGCACAATGAGAAGAGTAATGAATGAGTTTATCTTTTTGTCTGCATGATATTGATTATTGGTACAAAACAATTAGCATCATATTATTGATCGAACTGTGTTGTAATATAAAGACAATTTCTGTGTTTGTAGGAACAAGTACTGACATTAAAATATATTGCGTCAAATATGACTCATAAAAAATATTGTTTTTGAATATAAAGGATTCATGGCCGGCGTATCGAGATAAGTTATGAAAATTCTAGCGACTACTGAAAAAAATTACATTCACTAACAAAATTTCCATATGACGACCTAATCTCTGCACAGTAAATCCTGTCCAGAGTTGTGTCCCTTGACCATGTCAGGACCTGCTGGTTGTGGGGTCAAACCGTAGATTTACCCTGATAATAATCTTTATCATGTAATGGGTGGGTTTCTTGGCAGGATAAAGTCAACGTATAAAAACGAAAATCAGTGTCTAACTGACATAGCTAAGTCAATGTACAAGTTTTGGAAACTTTGGAGATATAAATTGCGAAACAATATTGTGAGGGGGGTAGCCAAGCAGGATCACTTTCCATATATCTGCTTGTAGAAGGGGGCACAGGTGGCCCAGTCATCTAAGGCGCTGCGATTCGCTGTGCAGAGTTGGTCCCCTGGGCACACCAGAAACCTATGATTGTGGGTTCGAATCCCGGTTCGCCCCGATTATGTTTCTAGGTTTGTCAGCACCATACCCGTGCTCGTGGGTTTCACCGAAGTGGTAAACGTCTGAGACCTGCATCACTTCGGGCTTTCCTCCCACATTAAGCTGACACGCAGAAATATACCTGCTGGAAGACTGTTAAAAGCGGCGTTAAACCCAACTCACTCACTCACTCAGCTTGTAGACCTCTGCGGCTTTGAACCTCTCCACAAATCAAAACAGTTGGACTTGGCCGAAATATGTTCGAATTGTTACCTTATTTTGTTTTGTCGCTGTGTGTACATCTGACTGCACTTTGTCACATCATGACAGGACAGGACGACTGTTAACAACGTCTGACTGTGGCCATGATATTTCATAGACTAGGGTTAGAGTAGCTTCCCTTTGATAAAGGACAGTTACTCTATCGGACAGACAGATGGATTGCCGCAGAACAAGAAAAAATAATTTGTGTAGGCAATTGTTGTTTTGCATAAATGTAGTTGCCCCACTGTATAAGAAAAAGGTTTCTGTTGGAACTATATCGGCTACTGTCACTGTCCGCCTGACACATCACGTACCCTCTGACGTGATGTATATTAATGCGCACATTCCAGGAAATCTTGCAATGTTTAGTTAATGTTTGTGAGAGATGGAAAGGGATTTTCGAGCACAGAATTGAAGAATGACATTATATGATAAAGAGGTTATCATGCTTGTGTGTTGGGGGATGGTAAATATCCTGTATTAGGAATAAACAAGGCTTGCTAAATACACTGTAGCCTCTATTTGGTTGACGTGAGTCATACCTGTTTGTGTCCTTTACTCGATTGTCCTGCCCAGACTCAGTTGTTTACAGGCTGCCATCATATAGCTGGAATAATGATGCATTGAGCAACAAATAAGCAAACTAAAAAAGGAAATAATATTTTGCATCACATCAAATGATCTATTTTCAGATTTCTACACTGTGTTAATGTCTGCCTGCTCATCTACGCGAGAACTGAACAACTCCATCCTAGAGTGTGTGCAGGCTCTTGTTGACGCTGGGGCGGATGTCAATGTCAGAGACAGGTATGAGTTGTCTCCCTTCCCAACTTCATTCACCAAGATCCTTTCCAGCGCGTGACACCTTCGTTACACTCTCGGTAACATCGCTGCCACCAGTGTGGGTGCAGCCATTACAAGAATCTTGAAATTTGTCCTCTAACCCCAAATGTAGTAGTGTTTACACTTTAGTTTATGTCTTTGCGAATGCAATCATAGTGAATTTAAAAAAAGTTTTCAACTGACCATATTTCCCAGATGAATTTACCTTTTTGTTTGTTTGATCAGATTGGTTCAAGATTGCAGATGGACAGAAAATCAACCACCTTCCCCCTTACATCCTTACTAAATCAAATACATGATTGTTGTAATGAAACAGAAATTCATTTTGACAAACAAAGAAAATAATTTAGCAGGAATAAGAGTATTCGGCATCATGGCAGTCAGCATTTGTTTGTAAACATAACAGTCAGTCAGTTGCAAGTTCAACTCCAAGCATGGTTTTTGCCACCTATCACTGTGGGGAGCTTTCACTAGTGGCAGTGATAGTTTTGAGAGCTCCGCGAATGGGCTACCACTGTAAGGAGCTTGATTCATTCTCATGTCATTACTCCTATATTCTTTTACAGTTACAGACAGACATTCAAAACTGCTTGAATCAGTTCACATACTTTATCAAGCCATGCTTGCCGTAAAAGGTGATTATGCTTGTCCTATAAGGCGACCAACGGGATCGGGTGGTCAGGCTCGCTGATTTGGTTGATGCTTGTCATCGATCCCAAATGAGTGGATTGATGTTCATGATATCAATCACTGGATTGTCTGGTCCATACTCGATTATTTACAGACCGCCGTCATATAGCTGGAATATTGCTGAGTGTGGCGTTAAACAAGAAAACAACCAACCAACTTTATCAAGGATTTACAGGTTGCATGGAAATTGGGAAAGAAACATTACCTTTGGTCTAGATCCTTATTTCCTTTCATTCGGGGATATTGCATTCAATGCTGTAATATAAAACTAAAGATTTTAGCGTTTTCCTCATTATTGGTCCTGTTATCAAATACTGCTTTACAAAACTAAGGCCATAATCATTCAATTACCAGATTTTCATACCAGTTTCTGGAATGTTTTTGGAGAGGAATTACCAATACCTCGATTCGTAATTGGTTAGAAAAGAACCCATTTGTTTGGACAATGTCCCTTGACCCAATCTAGGTCATATTCATACTGATTATGCATAAGCTAAAACAGGAAGTGATGTAAACTACATAATCCACAAATATCACACCACAAAATAGCGATATCACAATAATATGGTGTTGCCCGCCCTTGAGTCGCTAATGACAGGTACTTTGTTTACCGAGCTCGGTAAAGAAAATCAGAATCAATCAATCCTTATTGATGTGTCATAAAAGTTGAACCAAGAACAAGAAAATTTTGCGTATGGAATATTTAATAGGTTAGTAAGCGTTCGCCATTACGATCCATTATAAATCAACTACCTTGATAATATTGTACAATGCTACATGGCATGTAAGAAAAGGCAGTACAGGGGCTGCTTCTGTCTTTGTTTATTTCCCTCTGTGTATTTCCTGTGTCGTGTCCAGGTACCACGTGTCTCCCCTCATGTGTGCTGCACGGGAAGGTCATGTGACTGTCATGGATTACCTCATTGGCAAAGGGGCTGAGCTGAACCGCCAGGACTCTCGGGGCTGGACAGTAAGTGGATATCTGTAGACAGGTGTGGTTCTTTATTGTCTCAGTTGGTCCTGGTTTCTTCAAAGCTAAAGGAATCAAAAAATTACGAAAAGTATGTTTATTATTCATTACTGATTTGTATTTGTAAAAATAAAAGATTTTACTTTGTTTATGAACGACATTAAATAAAGCTTCTTGTATCTTGTAACAGCATTTTGAAATGATGACAGCTGTATCCGAAATGTCCTGGATTGTCCAGGGTATTATTGATTCAGAATGAAAGATTTACTCAAAATCACCCACGACCCATTTGCCTTTGTTTCGGAAGTGACTTCACTATCTGCATCTCTCATCACCAGGGATGGTGGGGTAGCCTAGTTCTCTTGTCGCCAGGGATGGTGGGGTAGCCTAGTTCTCTCATCACCAGGGATGGTGGGGTAGCCTAGTTCTCTCGTCACCAGGGATGGTGGGGTAGCCTAGTTCTCTCATCACCAGGGATGGTGGGGTAGCCTAGTTCTCTCATCACCAGGGATGGTGGGGTAGCCTAGTTCTCTCATCACCAGGTATGGTGGGGTAGCCTAGTTCTCTCTTCACCAGGGATGGTGGGGTAGCCTAGTTCTCTCATCACCAGGGATGGTGGGGTAGCCTAGTTCTCTCATCACCAGGTATGGTGGGGTAGCCTAGTTCTCTCTTCACCAGGGATGGTGGGGTAGCCTAGTTCTCTCATCACCAGGGATGGTGGGGTAGCCTAGTTCTCTCACCACCAGGGATGGTGGGGTAGCCTAGTTCTATCTTCACCAGGGATGGTGGGGTAGCCTAGTTCTCTCATCACCAGGTATGGTGGGGTAGCTTAGTTCTCTCACCACCAGGGATGGTGGGGTAGCCTAGTTCTCTCATCACCAGGGATGGTGGGGTAGCTTAGTTCTCTCACCACCAGGGATGGTGGGGTAGCCTAGTTCTCTCATCACCAGGGATGGTGGGGTAGCCTAGTTCTCTTGTCGCCAGGGATGGTGGGGTAGCCTTGTTCTCTCATCATCAGGGATGGTGGGGTAGCCTAGTTCTCTCACCACCAGGGATGGTGGGATAGCCTAGTTCTCTCACCACCAGGGATGGTGGGGTAGCCTAGTTCTCTCACCACCAGGGATGGTGGGGTAGCCTAGTTCTCTCACCACCAGGGATGGGGGGTAGCCTAGTTCTATCTTCACCAGGGATGGTGGGGTAGCCTAGTTCTCTCATCACCAGGGATGGTGGGGTAGCCTAGTTCTCTCATCACCAGGTATGGTGGGGTAGCCTAGTTCTCTCTTCACCAGGGATGGTGGGGTAGCCTAGTTCTCTCATCACCAGGGATGGTTGGGTAGCCTAGTTCTTTTGTCACCAGGGATGGTGGGGTAGCCTAGTTCTCTCATCACCAGGGATGGTGGGGTAGCCTAGTTCTTTCATCACCAGGGATGGTGGGGTAGCCTAGTTCTTTCATCACTAGGGATGGTGGGGTAGCCTAGTTCTCTCATCACCAGGGATGGTGGGGTAGCCTAGTTCTCTTGTCGCCAGGGATGGTGGGGTAGCCTAGTTCTCTCATCACCAGGAATGGTGGGGAAGCCTTGTTCTCTCGTCATCAGGGATGGTCGGGGTAGCCTAGTTCTCTCATCACCAGGGATGGTGGGGTAGCCTAGTTCTCTCATCACCAGGGATGGTGGGGTAGCCTAGTTCTCTTGTCGCCAGGGATGGTGGGGTAGCCTAGTTCTCTCATCACCAGGAATGGTGGGGAAGCCTTGTTCTCTCGTCATCAGGGATGGTCGGGGTAGCCTAGTTCTCTCATCACCAGGGATGGTGGGGTAGCCTAGTTCTTTCATCACAAGGGTAGGAGGGGTAGCCTAGTTCTCCCATCACCAGGGATGGTGGGGTAGCCTAGTTCTCCCATCACCAGGGATGGTGGGGTAGCCCAGTTCTCTCACCACCAGGGATGGTGGGGTAGCCTAGTTCTCTCATCACCAGGGATGGTGGGGTAGCCTAGTTCTCTCATCACCAGGGATGATGGGGTAGCCTAGTTCTTTCATCACCAGGGATGGTGGGGTAGCCTAGTTCTCTCGTCACCAGGGATGGTGGGGTAGCCTAGTTCTCTCATCACCAGGGATGGTGGGGTAGCCTAGTTCTCTCATCACCAGGGATGGTGGGGTAGCCTAGTTCTCTCATCACCAGGGATGGTGGGGTAGCCCAGTTCTCCCATCCCTAGGGATGGTGGGGTAGCCCAGTTATCCCATCACCAGGGATGGTGGGGTAGCCTAGTTCTCCCATCCCTAGGGATGGTGGGGTAGCCCAGTTCTCTCCTCACCAGGGATGGTGGGGTAGCCTAGTTCTCTCATCACCAGGGATGGTGGGGTAGCCCAGTTCTCCCATCCCTAGGGATGGTGGGGTAGCCCAGTTCTCCCATCCCTAGGGATGGTGGGGTAGCCCAGTTCTCCCATCCCTAGGGATGGTGGGGTAGCCCAGTTCTCTCACCACCAGGGATGGTGGGGTAGCCTAGTTCTCTCATCACCAGGGATGGTGGGGTAGCCCAGTTCTCTCACCACCAGGGATGGTGGGGTAGCCTAGTTCTCTCACCACCAGGGATGGTGGGGTAGCCTAGTTCTCTCATCACCAGGGATGGTGGGGTAGCCCAGTTCTCTCCTCACCAGGGATGGTGGGGTAGCCTAGTTCTCTCATCACCAGGGATGGTGGGGTAGCCTAGTTCTCCCATCACCAGGGATGGTGGGGTAGCCTAGTTCTCTCACCACCAGGGATGGTGGGGTAGCCCAGTTCTCTCCTCACCAGGGATGGTGGGGTAGCCTAGTTCTCTCACCACCAGGGATGGTGGGGTAGCCTAGTTCTCTCATCACCAGGGATGGTGGGGTAGCCCAGTTCTCTCATCACCAGGGATGGTGGGGTAGCCTAGTTCTCTCATCACCAGGGATGGTGGGGTAGCCTAGTTCTCCCATCACCAGGGATGGTGGGGTAGCCTAGTTCTCTCACCACCAGGGATGGTGGGGTAGCCCAGTTCTCTCATCACCAGGGATGGTGGGGTAGCCCAGTTCTCTCATCACCAGGTATGGTGGGGTAGCTTAGTTCTCTCACCACCAGGGATGGTTGGGTAGCCCAGTTCTCTCATCACCAGGGATGGTGGGGTAGCCTAGTTCTCTCATCACCAGGGATGGTGGGGTAGCCTAGTTCTCTCACCACCAGGGATGGTGGGGTAGCCCAGTTCTCTCCTCACCAGGGATGGTGGGGTAGCCTAGTTCTCTCTTCACCAGGGATGGTTGGGTAGCCCAGTCCTTTCATCATGCCAAATGCCTTGGTTCGATTCCCCACTTGGGTACAATATCTGAAGCCTATTTCTGGTGTCCCCTGCCATGATATTGCTGGAATTTAGAAAAAGTAGAAAAAGTTGCTTAATAAACTATCATTTAATTGTTGGTGGTTTAATGCCTGTTGTCACAAGGGGGTTCGCGCAATAAACATAACAGCTGAAGGGCATTGCGGAACACAGGGATAGTCTCAAAACTTCTGTTCTGAAATATTTTCCTTGTCACTGGTACTGCCAACTGAAATAGTAATTTGACTGACAGTTGTTTGTTTGCTTGTTTAATGCCACACTCGGCAATATTCCAGCTACATGACTGCGGTCTGTAAATAATCGAGTCTTGACATCAGGAGCATCAATCTATGTAGTTTGGATACGATGACATGCATCAGCCAAGTCAGCAAGCCTGTGACTGACAGTTACCATTCTCTAACCATCTCTATTACTATTATGATATGAAGCTTTAATTCTGGTCTCAACATTGTCCCTACACCCCGTCCTACTTGCAATAACCATAAATGTGAACAACCAAGGTGGAATCACCTGTGAATTTCATCATGTACCATATTCTACTGATATATTGCACTCATTCTGTTTATTTCATTATTTGCTTTTGAATTAGCTGAATAGCAATACCAAAAACATCACTTACATTTCTTTGAGAATATTTTACAGATTCGCATTGTATATTCCGTTTAATAACTACTACAGAAAGATACGTATCTGATTTTGACTTTTCAGTTGATAGGATTTTATTATGGAAAAGACAGTAGTAGTTTGGCCTAAAATGGGTGAATTTCATGTGTGAATGCAGGGCTGTTCAGTTTACGGTGTGACCAGTTAAACAACTTTTTCTACCCCTCGGGACAATGTCTGAAATCATGGTGATGAGTTGGTATGGACAAATAGATAACTGTTGCTTTCAGCTTAATATTTATTCATCAGTGCGATTTTGCAGCAAGCGGACGATAATCAAAATGATTCTTCTGAATACTCTCAAAATTTCAGCCTCGTAATAATTTACCCTCGATGGATTTGATCCAATCTGTTATTTAAGAAGTTTTATCAGGAAAGCATGAGTACAAAGATATATGAAAGGAGGTTCTTATGCTACCAAATGTATTTGAGACATTTCACCTGGCAACTCACTATTGTTCCATTCATACATGAAGATTACCTGATTTTTATACCTTTGCTACTTATTATGAAATATCTTTGAAGAAGGTTTATCATACATTGATTATGTTGATGTCTGGTGTTTTCTCAGGTTATTCAATCTTTGGGATGGTGGTGTTTTATCTTCTTAAATCAATCCCTTAAGAACTTCTGGCCAAGTTATCTAAAGCTCTACAAAATTCTGTGGAGAGTTGTCTCCCTCACACAATCCAGGATCCTATGATCATGAGATTGAATCCAGATTTGCTCTGATTATGATTCTTGGTTTGTCAGCACAATACCTCTGATTGTGGGTCATGTATATGTCTGAGACCTGCATCACTTCGGGCTTTCTCCTGGTATGCTGTGATATAACTTACATACTGCTCAAAGTGTTAACCCCAACTCACCTGCTTGTGTTATTGTGACGTCCAGGCCATGTCATGGGCAGCATCCAAGGGGCATCTGAAGGCCGTGAAGCTGCTGCTGGACAAGGGAGCTGATCGTACTCTCAAACACTCGGATGGTCAGAGGGCAGTGGACATTGCCTTGAATGATGAGGTAATAAAGAAAATTATTTAGGTTTTATGGGAATATTTGGTTCCATGTTAAGCGAGCGGTCGGGTAGCCTAGTGGTTAAAGCGTTCGCTCGTCACGCCGAAGACCTGGGTTTGATTCCTGATTGTACATGGGTACAATGTGTGAAGCCCATTTCTGCTGTGCCCCGCCGTGATATTGCTGGAATATTGCTAAAAGTGGCGTAAAACTAAACTCACTCATGTTAAGCATCCAGGCAGTTGTACTGGTGTTGAAACGTTACAGGATAACAGGGACCCAAGTACTCAAATTAACATAGTGAGCTGCACAAACAGTTTTAGCTCACCCGGTTGGAATTGTCAAAGTGTACTGATAACTTCTTTCCATAAAATGCCTTCTTATGAAAATGATAAAGTTACTTGGATTGTAGAACGTTTTGTTTTATGTTTGTTTGTTTTTGTTTTTGTTTAACGCCACACTCAGCAATATTCAAGCTACATGACGGCGGTCTGTAAATAATCACGTGTGGTCCAGACATCTTGTGAATGACATCATGACCATCAATCCACACAATTGGGATAAGACCACCCAAAGCACTTACTCACCTCTAACAGACCCGTGAAGATCCGGGGTAGAATAAGTCTTCAGCAACCCATGCTTGCCGTAAAAGGCGACTATGCTTGTCGTAAAAGGCGACTAACGGGATCGGGTGGTCAGGCTCGCTGACTTGGTACATGTCATCGGTCCCAATTGCATGGATCGAAGCTCATGATATTAATCACTGGATTGTCTGGTCCAGACTCGATTATTTACAGACCGCCGTCACATAGCTGGAATATTGCTATGTGCGGCGTGAAACAACAAACAAACAAACAAAAACACCTCTTACAATGAGCAAAGGTTGCTGGGGACCTTTAGCCTTATGAGAATCACCACGGATGCCTGGTCTGAGTAACATCAACTGCTATTCCAGATGGCCTGTTTGGTAGAGGGCAAGCCCTATGTCAGGTCCGTCCCCAAGCCTGTTGTGATGAATGGGCACACTGTGGAAGGTGGAGAAGTACTGGGTAGGGAACAGAAGCAGAGAGTGAGGCCGCCCCCACCTGAAGGAGACTTGATCCCTGTAGACAAGTAAGTAAATGATACTTGGTACATATAATTATATAAAAGCTATGCGATACATTACAAAGAACAGTGAAGATAGAACAATACAGATAGAAGTATTGTTCTATCGTGATGTCATTTCTGGAGATTCAAACATGCGCTCGCAACTTGATCACATCATAGACTAAACATGCATATTAAATTAAATTAATCAAACTAATCATTTATATAGCGCTACTTATCCAGATATACTCCTTGCTCAAGATTGCTGTCGTATGCTCTTTTGAAGAGTTTTGATCTGAAGGTGTTGACATCTTCAGATCCCCTGACATCAATGGGCAGTGCATTCCATAGAGTTAGTTGTGCCTGCTTTTCGGAAGGTCCTGTCGCCATATGTTGTTCTGCTGGTTGGTGGAACAGCAAGCTGTAGTTGGTTTGCAGATCTCAGTGTTCGTCCAGGTGGGTAAAGGGCAGTGAGTTCCTGGAGGTACACTGGGGATAACCCATGGATCGATTTGTAGACAAACATGATTAGCTTGAACACGATCCTGAGTCTCACAGGTTGCCAGTGCAGCTCTTTCAGGACGGGTGTAATGTGTTCACGCATTGACTTCCGTGTGATGAGTCTGGCAGCAGTGTTTTGCACACGCTGTAGTCTATCCAGATGCTGCTGCTGGATACCATACAGATTACTTTTACAATAGTCAAGTCTTGATGTTACAAACGCATGGACTAGGCACTTGACTGATGCTGTGTCTACGTATCTTGCTATCTGTCTGATGTTCCTGATGTGAAAGTAAGCTGTCTTGCACATACTGCTTACATGGTTATCCAGACTGAGTGTTGAGTCAATGATCACGCCTAGATTTTGGGCACAAGAGTTTTGCTCAACCGTACAGTCCCCAATTTTCAAACCAGGAACTCATACTTTTAACTGCATCTGTTTAGAGCTGATAAGAAGCATGAGCATATGAATATTTCGTTTTAGTATGTACTTATTTGTCTCCTTGTAGCAATATTTGGGAGGGCTACATGGAGATTATATTCAGTATATATTCAGTATACCGGTATCATTTTTGGATAACTTTTTTTCTGCTTCAATCTAACTGCTAAAATAGTATTGGTATTGTACAGAAATTGTTGGTTGAAGTTGCTGCATGCAAAAGTAATATCAGACCACCCCAGTGATCAGTGGATGGAGCGTCTTAGTGAGAGTAGAAGATCAGTGATTCCATTCCCTGGCTGTGTCGTGTGGCATGGTATTTCATGGTATCTCAGTGGACTAGCACAATAAAACCGGTATTAGTTCGGACTTGTACAGGGAGTGTCATGCACCCTCATCACTGTATACGTGAAATGATCTTGATGTTAAACCGTGTTTCACCTCACCCCACCGAAGTGATGTGGTTTTGTTTCACATCTGAGCACATGGTAAGAGTGCTTCTGCCAAGTGCAGTTTTTTTATTGACAATGTTCACACAAATGTAGTTATTGTCCTGTCACCATGGTTACAGACCTGTTGATGAGCGGTACGGAGAGCTGGAGGTGTTTCTGTATGGCCTCGAAGTCGGCCACCTCATTCCTCTCTTTAGAGATCAACATGTCGACTTCTTCAACTTTCTACGCTTCAACGAACAAGATTTGATAAATGTGAGTACATTGTATGTTTTGAGATTATCAGTTGAGTTTTTCCGTGAAGTAAATATATGTTAGGAACACAAATTGTATTTTACCAGCCATTGCTGATTTATTTATCACCCCTAAGATTTTTATATAAGGGAAACACACAAGGTTAATAATCCCTTCATCAAATAAGTCATTTCTAACAACAACAACAACAACAACAACTATATTTATTGGAAACCTTAGCCAGTGAGCATGTCTAGAGCTTAGGCTTGCAATGGCGTAGTTTTTGCTTCCATTTTCAATCTTTGTGTGTTAAACCACTGACTGTGGTGTAAAACAACATTCACTCCATCCACAGATGGGGATCACTCAGATAGGAGTACGCAAGAAGCTGCTGGATGCTATTGAGGTGGTTCACAAGAAGGAGTGGGACACGTCCAGCCTCATCTCCAGACAGTACAACAAACACATCGGGTGAGGACACGAACATACTGATGATGATGATGATGATGATGATGATGATGATGATTGAGGATGATGAAGATGATTGATGACGATGATGATGATGATGATGATGAAGATGATTGATGACGATGATCCCACTCACCCCCTTTTGAAAAAAGAAACCAATTTTTCTTATTGAACATGTCGTGAGGTGACCTTCTCCAGCACCCCTGTCTGGATCCATGAATATCCGTGCATTGAAAGAGGTGTGACACTGTGCTTGAATCCAGAATGGTGTTGGAAGCTTGCAGGAATTCGGTGTTTGCAAATAGCTATCTGCACCTCCCTTGGCAAGTAGGTTAGCAACAAGTCAGGTGAAACAGGGCCTCTTTTCACTCTTATATGGGTACAGCCATCCTTCTAGAAACTGTCCCATCCAGAAACTTTTTAAACGATCAATCCTGCTATGTTCAAGGAAACAATCGGGGCGGTCGGGTAACCTGGTGGTTAAAGCGTTCGCTCGTCACGCCGAAGCCCCGGGTTCGATTCCCGACATGGGTACAATGTGTGAAGCCCATTTCTGGTGTCCCCCGCTGTGATATTGCTGGAATATTGCTAAAAGCGGCGTAAAACCATACTCACTCACTCAAGTAAACAATCAGGGGCAGATAACTCCATTTGATACAACCAACTTCTGTTCAAATCTGGCCACAACAGCACTTGATATTTGTTGTTAGTGGTTCATATTGATTCCACTGATAATCACAGCAAACATATTTACATGACCCATGAAGATCCAGCAACCCATGTAAGGGACAACTATGCTTGTCATAAGAGGTAACTAACAGGATCGGGTGGTCAGGCTCTCTGACTTGGTTGATGCATTTCATCGTATCCCAATTGCATGGATCAATGCACATGATGTCATTTACGGACCACTGCCATATATAGCTGGAATATTGCTGAATGCGACGTTTATCAACAAAAGAACAAACAAACAATACTGTTAACAGTTAAACTTGTGTGGGAACGCATCTGTGTTCCTCTGTTGTTTCTCTGCATGGTAGACATCAATGTCTGAGTTGTGTCCCTAAATATTGTGGGTTTTAAATTCCAGTTTCGCCAGGATAATGTTTGTATGTTTGTCAGCACTATTAGTGAGTGAGTGAGTTGTATTTTTTACGCCGCTTTTAACGGTATTCCAGTGTCAGCTTAATGTGGGAGGAAAGCCCAAAGTGATGCAGGTCTTAGACGTTTACCACTTTGGTGAAACCCACGAGCGCAGATATGGTGCTGACAAATCTAGAAACATAATCGGGGCAAACCGGGATTCGAACCCACAATCATAGATTTCTGGCGGGCCCGAGGAACACAACTCTTCACAGCGAATCGCGGCGCCTTAGACGACTGGACCTGTGCCCCCATCGGCACTATTAAAGTAGTAGACATGATAGACTTCATAACTTCAAGTTTTCCTCCCACATCTCGCTGACACACAGACACAACTGAAATACAGTTGAAAGTGGCGTGAAACAAAACACACTTACATTATGAAAACTAACCTTCGTTTCCAGGGTTACATGGGAAAATCATTGTCGTGATTATGAGCAATAAACCGACATTACTCTGAAACAAAGGGCATTTGGCAGCCAGCAATTTACTATTGATTTTGCTTAATCTGCAGAGTTCTCTCCCTTAGCTTGGTTTACTTGTAGTCGTAATTGGTGTTCAGTTGTGTTCCTTAGTTGTAGAATCCATGGTTTGTGTTCCTAGGAACGAGGGGTGTAGGGGTAGCCTAGTGGTTATAGCGTTTGCTTGTCATGCCGACGGCCCGGGTTCAATTCCCCACATAGTGCTTGTGTTATTGCTGGAATATTGCTAAAAGCAGTGTAAAACCATGCTTACTCACTCTTAGTAACCAGGACATATAGAATCCATGGTTTGCTAGGTCCTACTGTCTCTGGTTAGACCAGTGAAGATCCGGGGTAGAAAAGGTCATCAGCAACCCATGCTTGTCGTAAGAGGTGACTAACGGGATCAGGTGGTCAGGCTCGCTGACTTGGTTGATGCACGTCATCCTACCCCAAATGCGTGGATTGATGTCAATCACTGGATTGTCTGGTCCAGACTCGATTATCTACAGACCGCCGTAATATAGCTGGAATATTACTGTGTGCAGCGTTATACAACAAACATCATCATCATCATCATCATCATCATCTAGTTTTCCCCACAACTGCAGGCGTTTATGACTGGTAACTCCATGCTGGCTGATCCCAAGCTCATGACACAGCTGGAAGATGCTGACCGTAGCCTGTGCCATCACTTCTATGGTTATTGTGGACAGTAAGGTTCTTGTAAGATCAGCAGGATTAACAAGTTCCCTGTGAGCTGAATCAAGGGTATGGAATATTGATAATTATTTCAACATTCCCAGCGGGAGGAGTCAGGGAGGTGGGATTTCTGGATTATCAGGGTGCACACCGATGAGGATATCTTACATGATGCAAAGCAGCTTATCCAAGTCCATGTTGATAATTGCAATCAGTGCTTGTCAGAAGACTAAGAGGGCTGTTAGCAGGGTCAGGTGGTCAGGCTCGCTGACTTGGTTGATGCATGTCATTGTATCCCAATTGTGTAGATCGATGCTCATCATGTCAAGTGCTGGATTGTCTGGTCCAGACTTTATCATTTACAGACTGCAATCATATAGCTGGAATATTGCTGAGTGAGTCATTAAACAACAAACAAACAAGTTGACAATCCATTCGTATGTTTCAGCTGCCCGGATGCCATCGCCATGGTAGCCAACATCTCCAAGCACCTGCGCTACATCGGCAGTACAGTGGTATATGTGCGAGAACAAATCAGGACCCACCCACAAATACTCAATGATGCCAGGGTAAGTCCTCTATTGCTGCCTCAATGATACTGCCTCCATGATGCCAGTGTTAGAATTGTTATCTTAATGATGCCAGTGCAAGACCTATTGCTACCTTTATGATGGACCCGGGGTAGACAAGGTCATCAGCAACCAAAGCTTACCGTAAAGACAACTATGCTTGTCATAAGAGGCAACTAATGGGATCGGGTGGTCAGGCTCGTTGACTTGGTTGATGCATGTCATCCTATCCCAATTGCCGGGATCGATGCCCATGATGTCAATCATTGGATTGTCTGGTACAGACACGATTATTTACAGACCCCCTTCATATAGCTGGAATAGTGGGGCGTTAAACAACAAACAAACAAACAAACAAACAAACAACAAACCTCAATGATGGCAGTGCAAGCCCTATATTGCTACCTCAATGATGGCAGTGCAAGCCCTATATTGCTACCTCAATGATGGCAGTGCAAGCCCTATATTGCTACCTCAATGATGGCAGTGTAAGCCCTATATTGCTACCTCAATGATGGCAGTGCAAGCCCTATATTGCTACCTCAATGATGGCAGTGCAAGCCCTATATTGCTACCTCAATGATGGCAGTGCAAGCCCTATGTCGCTACCTCAATGATGGCAGTGCAGGCCCTATATTGCTACCTCAATGATGGCAGTGCAAGCCCTATACTGCTGCCTCAATGATGGCAGTGCAAGCCCTATATTGCTACCTCAATGAGGGCAGTGCAAGCCCTATATTGCTACCTCAATGATGGCAGTGCAAGCCCTATATTGCTCCCTCAATGATGGCAGTGCAAGCCCTATATTGCTACCTCAATGATGGCAGTGCAAGCCCTATATTGCTACCTCAATGATGGCAGTGCAAGCCCTATACTGCTGCCTCAATGATGGCAGTGCAAGCCCTATATTGCTACCTCAATGATGGCAGTGCAAGCCCTATATTGCTACCTCAATGATGGCAGTGCAAGCCCTATATTGCTACCTCAATGATGGCAGTGCAAGCCCTATATTGCTACCTCAATGAGGGCAGTGCAAGCCCTATATCGCTACCTCAATGATGGCAGTGCAAGCCCTATATTGCTATCTCAATGATGGCAGTGCAAGCCCTATATTGCTACCTCAATGATGCCAGGGTAATTTCTCTATTGCTGCTACTGACAGCATTGAGGCATTTTCATTGGACATTCCTGGCATCATCAAGGTAACAACTTCAGACTTACCCTGGCATCATTGAGGCAGCTTCACAGGACTTGAACATAAATATCTCCTCAATAATTTTTTAATGAAATAATTATGCTTCATATTGTTGGGAAAATAAGAAATAGTCTGCCCATTGTCACAATGTTGTTTTTTAAAAAAATATTTTGTCTCATAGTTTCAAAAAAAATCCCAGGCTCCCGTGAATATCAATTGGTCCTTTGTAAGTCCTTTAAAGCTGCCTCAATGCTGTAAGTTCTAAGTTGCTGTGTGTCAGTGATACATTTTCTCAATTTCTAATGTTAAGGGACATGAGCCAGCCATGTGTTTTCAGGGAAGAAAGAGCATGACTGTCATTTGGGACAGTTAATTAAACTGTAGACTGTGGCTACACATTCGGGATGATAGCTGTATGACTGACTGACAACTGCACCGGTTTACCGTGAAACAACCTTTAACAATTTGAATTGTGATATAATCTAAATGGGTCAGTAGATTGAGAAAATGTGTGACCCACCAGGTACTAGGATACAATTGTGCAATAAGGTCATAATTGTGCCATAGGGTCATAATTGTGCCATAAGGTCATAATTGTGCCATAAGGTCACAAAGATGTTGGACGTCAACTTACTTCAGTGAAAATCGATATTAGGGCTAGGACGGGTAATTCAGGTACTCGGGTCAGGTGGGTACTGAGTAGGACCCAGGTACTCACAGGACTACCCAGACCCGTGGTTATCTAGAACTCTTATGTTTAAGCTACAAGTCACTAATTTTCGCAGTTCTTTCTGACTACTATGCCCATTCCTTCTGACTTTTTTATGTTTGAATAAAATAAACCTTCCGTCAACTTCAGTGTATGCATGACCAGATCGTTTTATACGTGTATCTAAGCACATTTTGACAGGGCTATGGTCCAACTTTTCCCAATAGGACAGTTTGTACCCCTATCTCTTGATACCTACAGTGGGTCCCCGGTTAGGGTCGGGTAATAGGGAGGTGGGTACCCGGGTAGTAAATTTGGACTCGTCCCAGCCCCAATTGATATGTATGATGTCATGTATCTGTGTAATAATTATGAATTGAAGCTTGTGAATTGTATTTTTGTGTTCCGATGATACTATCTTAAAATATATCTCATGGGTCACATATGTAGCTACGTGTATTTCTTTGAGTTTTATCAATAGTGAAATAAATTAAAACCTTCTCGGTACAGCTAACCTCTGACAAATAATATTTCTAGTACACACTGCCTTTTGTCAGTGTGTTAACTCCCTTGATTAAGCATTACCATGGTTACAAATGACGTCCAATAATCCACTTGACTGAGATGATTCCTAACAAACAGGGTATAGTCAACACATTGTGCTAATTGGTCTTGCAAACTAGGGCAGTTGAAAACAAAGTTGTATGTTTAATGGCAACATTTTGCAATACATATGACAATACATTTAAGGGATATCTATCTCCTTTATATTGCTAGGACTTTGTTTTGACATACTGATATGTCATGTTGAGGGTCAAGGTCATCCTCAAGGTCAGAGTATCAAATACAGTTCATTCACTGCCAAGAGAAGGATTTACTGTAGGCCAATGAAACTCAGTCACTACGTCATTCTTATGGCAGAGTGGAAAAGTCATGTGTGACCAACCTACAAGGTCAAGGTCGCAGTGAAGGTCAATCATAAAATAATCAGTTTTCATTCCAGTGCCTTTTTCTGCAGATATCTTTTTAATGTCTTGTGCAGGTAGTGTTTATTAGTAGTGTTTATTTATTTTATTGAATAATGGTAGTTCTGCTTCTTTGTGCACTAGGAGCTACCGGTAGGGTAGCCTAGTGGTGAAAGTTACGTTCGTCACACCGAAAACCCAGGTTTGAATCCCGACCAGGGTATAATGTGTGAAGCCCATTTCTGGTGTCCCCCGCCAAGATATTGCTGGAATATTGCTAAAAGCATCATAAAACCATACTCACTCACTCACTTACTCTTTGTGCACTGAAGCTATTTCCTAAATAAGCATGTTTTATTATTGTACTTCATTGGACCTGTGTTTCTGAAACTGGGAGTGAAGCCAGTAAACTTGAAATGAAACAACCTATTTATTTTACAACTAACTAGACAAACAAAGGCTTGATGTTGTAGTGTTCTTTACTGGCAGAGCTAGCATTCAACTTGGACGTGCGTGTAACTTTCGTATTGAAGTAATTTCGATGCATTAGACTTTCTGTTTTAGACTTCTTGTTTGTCAGACATGTCTTTCCCAAACAGGAAGTGATGTCATGCGAGCGGAAATGCATTATGATCCTTCATTTTCTTAACGAGAGGCAATGTACGTTAATCTGGTATGAGGTAGCCGGCATGCCTTTTGCCTTACAGAAGGCAGTGGTATCACTGGAAATGCATGGTGTTCCGTAACAATTTCAGGGACCTAGAAATGGTGGTGAAAGGGCTGCTTGTGTTTGTGTGTGTACTTGTGTGTACTTGTGTGTACCTTTCTAGTTGTTATCGGAATCTATACTATCACATCCGGCTTCTGTATGATTTGTGTAGTTTCTCATGTGTGAGCTTTTCCCTTTCTTCACTCGTCCACACAGGGACATTCTAGCAGGTCTGTGTGATAGAGTTTCAGCTTGTGCCATCAAATCCTGCACATACAGATAATGAAAGATGTCTCTTGCTTTTGTCACAACTTTGAAGCTTCTTGCAATATTTTATACAATCAAGTTGTGTTGATCACGAAGAAGGCGTCAGACATCTGTCATCTGTCAGGGTAAAAATCTCAAAACTGACAATTTTCTAACTTTCAACTTGCCAAAATAAAAGTGTCCCTAATATAAGTTTTCTCTTTTGGCCTTTAGCAATATTCCTTATAGTCAAGTGAGGTTAAACATTTGAAAATGCATAGCAACTCTGTATGTGTTACAGCTTTGGGGCTTCTTGCAATATTCCTGACAGTCAAGTTAGTTATAACATTTGGAAATGACATCCGTGTTTGTGTCACAGCCCTGAGGCTTCTTGCAATACTTGATGACTACGGTGTAATTTTTTTTCTGCGCTTGGTATTCAAATTTATTTTTTTTCAAAAATATTGAATCCGCTAGAGGGGGGTACGCATTATACATGGGTGCGCACTATACTCAAGAAAATATGGTATGTGTTTACTATCATCAGACTTTTCTACTAAGAGCATGGTGAAACTTGAACCCTTTTGCTCACACTAATCTAACAGGTGTTTTCAAACCCTCTTACTGTCACAGAGTGGTTATGCATTATTTCAATTTATTCTATCTTAACTAATTCACAGCTTTCTTAAGCCATTGTTTGACTATGACTTTGATAGCTTCAGCAATTCCCTTCCAACCAGGCTCTGTGAGTCAGGTGATATTCAACACTCTGTGCACATGTGCTTTCTGTCACGGCTCTGAGATATTTTGCTATAATGTTTTCAATCTGACCACTTAGATCCGCGACAGACGAGACATTATCCTACCTACACTGTGTGATCTACCAGTGTTTTTTGTCAGGGCGAGGGCTGTGGGATGTTTTGCTTTCTGTAGCTTGTTAACTGTGTGATAGACAGGTGCTTATTTCTGTGTTCTATTTCTCTCCTAGGATGGCACGGGGCCAAGGCAGCTTCACAAGCATACACAAGATGCCTCGAAAAATCTTGACGCCTTGGCAAAGGAAATTAGTCGATTACACAGTCGCCTAAATGTGGTATGAAAACATTTTATTAATCTTTTTAATGTCATTTGTGATATTTTCATTCCATTTTGTTGTAGACTTATTTTCCACAAATCTGTTGATTTTAGGTTTATGTTTAACATAGTTTATTATTTTTTGTAGTTGAAAAAATCATGTTTGTTTTCATTATTGTAATCATTAAGTGTTGGACGTAAAGCGTTGTCCTTAATTTGCTACATCTAGATAAGCCAAGTGTATTTTTAGTGCCTATCACTGTCAGCAGCTGAAGATGTAGCAGTGGGTTTGAAAAGTGAATTTTTGTATGTGACAGACATAAATAATCAGTTTGTGATGCAGATGGAGATGGAGTATTAGAGCTGTTCAGATTAACTTGATATTATCATGAGTAATAGGGCAGACACTGCCATGTTTATTACCTCAACTGGGTTAGAGTGTATACAATGGCAGGGTTTCAGATGGCCCTCGGTCACCGGTCATAGACCGATAAATTTTCTATTTGACCGATGGTTTGTTTAAGTTGTCAGACTTTTGACCGATAGAAATGCTAAGCAAGGCATCACAAGTGTCATAATTTCATGATTAAATAGTAAATAGTAAGGATTATTCCACTTAGGGTATCAATATGGAGCCATCGATTTTAATGCTCTCATAAAGAATAGTGCCAATCGAGAAGTTGATGGCAGTATTGCTCCCAGATCCGGTGGGTAGCCGGGTGTGCGGAAGCTATGCCCGATTTTTTAAAAGTACTGATTTAACTTTGAAATTTTACTGCATCCGGCATCTTTGTTTAAGTGACTTATTGACTTTTGCCACTGACTTATTACATTTCTTGGGTCCAAGCCATTGACCTGTATACAGCTTTTTGTGTCAAAATCACTGAATGGTGCAGCGTCTGTCATCCGTCGGCCATTGCCACTCCCTCATCTTGTTGACTTGTCCAAGGGGATTACTAAAATAAAAAAATTACTCAAACAAATAGTCTTTCAAATGCATTAAGATGTAACATAAAAAAAGAAAATTTGAATTTGCTTACATCACATTTCTTTGTCCATTTGGCTTACTGTGACTAATGATAATAGATTTAAACCAAATTGAATTTGAATACATATTAAGGTCAGGCCTTTGTTTAAACAAGTTAATTTTTATTCATTAAATCACTTGTTTAGTAAAAGTGGTCTGATATTTGTTACTTTGCAGTAACTGTGACAAGTATTAATGCGTCTGGAATAACTTGCAGACAGGTCACAATGAAGCACAGGTCAAGGTCAATAGCAAACTTATAGGTCAGAAGGTCAAGGTCAATCATAACACTTGCCAACAGTGCAATCAGACAGGTTTCCATGACTATTTAGTTTTCACAAATGTTGATGAATTTGAACATACTTATTGTGTTATTTGTAAGCTCAGGTCAAATTTAGTGGCAAATCTTATTGGTTGACTTTGTCACACTAGGATGACAGCTTTGTGAACACATGGGTTTTTTTTGCGCTTTCTTTGTAACACTTTGTGAGTAAATGGTTCTGATGATTTAAATTGTGTTTACTGGTATAATTTAATCAAGGTCAGTCACATTGAGGTCATGTTCCTGCGCATTAAGACGTACCTGGCCTTTTTTTTAGGTGATTGTTAATCACTTCATGATATACTCACTGACATAAGAAACTGTGCATGCGATTTTATATGCACACAGGGGCGGTCGGGTAACCTAGTGGTTAGAGTGGTTCGCTCATCACGCTGAAGACCCGGGTTCGATTCCCGACATGGGTACAATGTGTGAAGCCCATTTCTGGTGTCCCCCGCCATGATATTGCTGGAATATTGCTAACAGCGGCGTAAAACAATACTCACTCAATTATATGCACAAATTTTTGCTGCTTAGTGATGTAGATATACTAGGCACAAAAAGAAACGGTGGATATGATAACATCCTATGATAAAATGTGTGCAGTTCTTTTGTTATTGAGTATACTTATGGATTACAAGAAATGATTTGCAAATATTATAGCATTAATATGGAAATATTCTGGTTTGAGTTATATCATTATAAACATGCATCAGAGGCGCATTTCTTTCTTTACTGCATATATTTCATGTTGATTATTTCGTTGTTACGAGTATAAATAAGAGTTGAAATAACGGCATGTTTTGTGTGACAAGAGTACTTGTATCGAAATACTGATGAATATCTTGGTTCTTTCAGGAGATGAAAAGATTGAATATAGATCCGCCAGATTTGGTACTAACTTCCTCCAAAGCCCGGTTAAGGTGCAGATCACGGGTCATGCGGCTCATGTCTGTATCAATGGTGGCAACGGTGGCGGCTGTGCTGTGGTGGAAGCGAGATGTCGTGTTGGAGCAGGCAACGTCACTGATCAAGACATCGGGAATAATAGGGAAAAACACATAGTCATGATACTGGTATATTCCTATATCCTGGGTATATATCATATAACCTATTTGTGGAGGTATATGGGTATATCCCTTTCACCTATTCTTGAAGGTATATGGCTATATATATCCTATAACCTATTCTTGAAGGTATATGGATATATATCATATAACCTTTTTGTGAAGGTATATGGGTATATATCATATAACCTATTTGTGAAGGTATATGGGTATATCCCTTTAACCTTATCATGAAGGTATATATGAGTATATCCTATAAGCTATTCTTGAAGGTATATGGATTTATATCATATAACCTATGCTTGAAGGTATATGGATATATATCATATAACCTATTTGTGAAGGTATATTGGTATATATCATGTAACCTATTCATGAAGGTATATGGATATATATCATATAACCTATTCTTGAAGGTATATGGGTATATCCCTTTAACCTATTCATGAAGGTATATGGGTATATCCTATAACCTATTCATTAAGGTATATGGGTATATCTCTTTAACCTAATCGTGAAGGTATATGGGTATATCCTATTACCTATTCATGAAGGTATATGGATATATATCATATAACCTATTCTTGAAGGTATATGGGTATATCCCTTTAACCTATTCATGAAGGTATATGGGTATATCCTATTACCTATTCATGAAGGTATATGGGTATATCTCTTTAACCTTATCGTGAAGGTTTATGGGTATATCCTATTACCTATTCATGAAGATTTATGGATATATGTCATATAACCTATTCTTGAAGGTATATGGGTATATCTCTTTAACCTATTCATGAAGGTATATGGGTATATCCTATAACCTATTCATTAAGGTATATGGGTATATCTCTTTAACCTTATCGTGAAGGTTTATGGGTATATCCTATTACCTATTCATGAAGATTTATGGATATATGTCATATAACCTATTCTTGAAGGTATATGGGTATATCTCTTTAACCTAATCGTGAAGGTATATGGGTATATCCTATAACCTATTCATTAAGGTATATGGGTATATCTCTTTAACCTAATCGTGAAGGTATATGGGTATATCCTATAACCTATTCATTAAGGTATATGGGTATATCTCTTTAACCTAATCGTGAAGGTTTATGGGTATATCCTATTACCTATTCATGAAGATTTATGGATATATGTCATATAACCTATTCTTGAAGGTATATGGGTATATCTCTTTAACCTAATCGTGAAGGTATATGGGTATATCCTATAACCTATTCAGTAAGGTATATGGGTATATCTCTTTAACCTAATCGTGAAGGTATATGGGTATATCCTATAACCTATTCATTAAGGTATATGGGTATATCTCTTTAACCTAATCGTGAAGGTATATGGGTATATCCTATAACCTATTCATTAAGGTATATGGGTATATCTCTTTAACCTAATCGTGAAGGTATATGGGTATATCCCTGTGAACACTACCGCCAGTGTTCCCTATACCAAGTATACTAGCGTAACTGTGATAGAGTTCACACAGACTCTCTGTACCATACAAGCATTAGTTGGTCTCGACCTATGACCTTTCCTGTACAAACAGGTTACTTTTTTCTCTTGTATTCTAAACACTCCTACTTGGTTCTCAAGCAATGTCCATATTTTACCTCTCCAATATGACAGATTAATGTCAACATTTGTGCAGACCAACATTTTGTCTGGTTTTACAGGCTATTTTCATACACAGACACAGAGAGCTATTTACACTGTAATTAAGAATAACCAATTTGTTTTCAAGGTTGATTTCAGATTAATTTCCTAAAGAGAAAACCTTTTTTTTAAAAAAAGAAGTATACATAAAATATAAAAACAAAATTATGCTCAACGTGGCATATTTCTGATCGATTGCAACAAGAATATTTGTATTTTATTGTCTTTAATTTCATACAAACTTAAGGTTCATTCATCAAACAGGCCGTGAAATTTTTTTGCATAAATGTCTGATTCAACCTGATTGAAAATAAATGGTTTTTCACTGGTCTTTAACGGAAACTTAATATAACATGAACAGAACTATGAATGCAGGTGCTTTTATAGTCTGTCATACAGACCCTGAAACAAATATATCCAATACAGCCCGTGCAAGTCTATAATGTTTGGCAAGTCTAGATTACTGTAGTATCAGGCATCTGAAAATGAAGAGAGTCTCTTGGCTCCTTTTATTATTTTTTTATTAAGTTAAATTAACTGTTTTTTCTGTAAGATATGTTCATTTCAGAGACTAGATGTTTGTCTTGTGCCTTAACTGTGCACGAGGTTATGGATCTGCAGGTCGCACCACACAGTCTGGCTGTGATAACTCTTGATAGTTGTTTGTTTTTATCATGTTCAATTGTCAACGTCAAGGGGGAAAAGTCCAAGGACAAAGGACAGATATCTAAAACTCAGGGAAAACTTAGTGTAACGGGACAATGTGACTCAGCTCTGTTAGAATGTCTTATAGTTTAACAGAGCAAGCTCAGAATTGTATTGGCAACATTTTATTTTTATGGTGATTTTGTTTTGATCTACGGTATACTTCATTGTTTTTACTGTTATTTTATGGCCGCTGTGTAACACTAAATACAACCACCACTAGTCAATGTCCTCTTTCATCCAACAGCCTTGCACTGCCTCAGCTTTGTGTGGAGGTGGAATTTGTCTCATCATTTATTCCAATGAATCCATGTAAGGCAAAACTTGAACTGTCATTGGCAATTTATCCTGTTATTCAATGCCCAACGTCTTATGCCTTGTCCAAAGTAAAAAACATGCATGAGAACAAAAGCCGAAATTTCTGCAAGTGGCTCCAAGACCCTGTTTCTGTGAGAAATGGTTCATCAGTTGGTGTGGACTAGTGCCAAAACCATATATATCTTACATGCATGTTGTCTGAATTGTTGAAATACTCTAGACCTGGACCGACTCCACAGAGGTCATGTAGTGCCTTGTCATTTCTGAAGCATTGCAACTGGCATGTGATAATAATTACTCTTCATCATCTTCATCAAACATATTGTCATCATACGTCATACACTTCATCAGACATAGAATCGAGTAGCTGTGATGCTTCATCGGACATGGTTTTCAGACATACAATACGGGTGGTCAGGCTCGCTGACTTGGTTGATGCATGTCATCGTCTCCCAAATGCGTGGATCGATGCTCATGGTGTCAATCACTGGATTGTCTGTCATATAGCTGGAATATTGCTGAGTGAGGCGTTAAACAACAAACAAACATACAATAGGGTAGCTATTATACTTCATCAAACAGGGTGGTGGGGTAGCCTAGTGGTTAAAGCGATGGCTCGTCACACTGAAGACAATGTGTGAAGCCCATTTCTGGTGTCCCCTGCCGTGATATTGCTGGAATATTGCTAAGAGCGGGGTAAAACCATACTCACTCCCTCACTTCATCAAACATGGCGGTCCTCAAATGCACATTTCCTTCATATGATACTAAGGTGTGACTTTGTGGAGCAGATCAAGGAGTTGATGTAACTTAGCCCTGTGTGTTATGCATGATTGGGTGGGAGTCATCTTCCTGAGGCAAGGGAGTTAACAGACTACAATAGTCCAGTTTCCACCCTTGTTGAACTAGGCTGGAATTTCCAGGCCCGATCGTCGCATCACCAGTGGTGATTATGAGTTATGTCCCTTCTATGTCTCTCCTATTGACCAATCAGATATCATCTCTTATATGATTTGCATTTGCTTCAAACAAAATGGCAGTGTCCAGTCAAGATGATTTGATCTATAATCAAGACCATTATGGCAATAAAATGCGAAGTGCAATGAAATCACTTGAGAACCTTCGTTAAAAACATGACTAGATTTGGAAAATATCTGTTGCTGCCATCTACAGTGGAATCTCTCTGTCTTCAACCTGGAGCCATATTGTGGGCTTTACACTGTGTTAAATTTGATATCTACAGCAATTTGCTGTAAAGAGTTGTGTCCCTTTGGTGTCACAGTATTGTGTGATCTTCCCCCTTATTATTTTTCTTTGTCGGGTTTCAATAAACGTAGTGAACATTTATGACTTGTAGATGATAATGATGATGATGATGATGATGATGTTTGTTTTTTGTTTGACACTGTACTCAGTTCGAGCTATATGACAGGACCTGTAAACAATTGACCCAAGCCTTTAACCAAGTTACCATTGCTGACCACCTGATCCATTAAGTCACAACTTTTGACCAGGATAGATTGCTTGGGAGCTTTTTATCCAAGAATACCCCTGGGGAAATACGGTTCAAAGTGGCATTTAACCCAGCTGCAGAGAAGAGATTGTAATAATTAGCCAATCTCATACTTCAAGTCGACCCGTGAAGATCTGGGGTAGAATAGGTCTTCAGCAGCCCATGCTTGCCGTAAAAGGCAACTATGCTTGTCGTAAGATGTGACTAATGGGATCAGGTGGTCAGGCTCGCTGACTTGGTTGATGCATGTCATCGTATCCCAATTGCGTGGATCGATGCTCATAACATCAATCACTGGATTGTCTGGTCCAGACTTGATTATTTACAGACCGCCGTCATATAGCTGGAATATTGCTGAGTGCAGCGTTAAACAACAGACAAACAAATAAACTTCAAGACAGTTTTCTACCGTGGGGATTCCAGGTTGGAATAAGTCCCCAGCAACCTGTGCTGGTTGTAGTTGTCACCGACTGGGTCAGGTGGCCGGGCTCGGTAACTTGGTTGTTTGTGTGTCAACATGCCCCAAGGGTGTGGATCGTTCTTCACAATGTCGATCACTAGATTGTCTGGTCCAGACCCGATTATTTTCACGGCGCCATCCTACAGCTGGAATATTGCTGAGTGTGGCTTGCAACAACAACCAAACAAATCAAGTCGGAGGAGTCCTATGGCATCTGGTTTTGAGACTTTTTCCCACATGGCAAGGTTGACAATTAAGATAAAGTTTTCTGAGACAAGCTGCCATCTTGTTTAAGTTTTGGTTCAATTCATTGAGGTCTCCAGTATGGATCAGAGATGCCGACCATTATGATTTTGATGTCACAGTTATGATTATCGGCCTATATTTAAGCTATCATGCTTGTCTTCCCCCAAATTACGATTATTGTCATTTTTTCACAAATTATTTACATGCATTAATTATCATGGAGAGCACACTGTTAATGCACTAGTGACATAAGGCGTTCTACAGCAAGACTTTACTGACCAATGAGAATCTTGCTTTCAATTGTCATAGTGTTAAAATACCCATTAATGAGGTATTGGTTAAAAAAAGTCATTTTTCAATCAATCTTTGTGGTTGCAGACAGGACCTAATTGCATGTACACTGATATTATGTCAGAACTAAAAACACTACATTGCTTTCTGAAAAACAGTTAATTTGTGTCACATGAGGAATTTTAGGAATGTGTGGAGCTTTGACCATGAGTATCACTCAAGTCTAGGTCTAATGAAAAGGCTGAAGTGAAAAACTGCATCACGGTACTTTTAACATTACACTTTTTCACATGAAATTTAGCTTCTTTGCCCAAATATTCAGGTAGGGTGGGCATTTCTGTATCAGGAGTCAAATCTCTACTTTTAACCCTGTGACATCTTCCCGATGCAATGCTGTTAACTGACTATAAAAGTCCAGTTTCCACCCTTGCCGAACTAGGCTGGAATTTCTGGGCTCTATCAAAGCACCACCAGTGGCTATTAAGAGTTATGACCCTTCTATGTCCCCTCCAATTGACCAATCAGATTCCACTTGCATTTGCTTCAAACAAAATGGCGGCGCCCTGTGAAGATGATCTAATCAATAATCAAGATCTATACTGTAATAAAACGGGTCTTACCTTGCGAAGTGCATCAAATTACTTTGGCGGAACACTTGCTTTGCAGATCCTGCAGTTGACCGAAATCTGCCCTTTGAAATCCATGTTGTTTGCAAATGGGATGGACTATGCATAGACTCATAAGTCCAGCCAAAATGTAACTCTGGAATTCCAGCCTAGTTCAGCAAGGGTGAAAACTGGTCATTTATTGTCAGTTAACGCCCTCAGCTCGAGAACATGACCCTGTGCTTGCATCAGGTACCCTCCTACAAGTGCAATATTTGTACCCAGATCTCATGGTTATCACCTATACATGTACCTATACATACACTCACAATCTCATTAATACCAGATCTTGTTCTCTGACTTGATGACTCTCTGTGTCAAGACCAGAAAAAAACATCCACAATAGGTCACATCATGACCCTAAGCAAACTTTTGACAGCCTAAGAATGTGTGAGTTTTTGGTCCAATCCTATTTCGCTAAATGCTTTTCCACCTCTGTCCATGATCACAGAAGTTTCAGTCTCAAGAAAATAAAATCCACAGAAAACGGTACTTGCTAGTAGACTCTTTGGGAGTTTTATGCCATGGCATCAAAAATGACACAGTTAAAAACAATAGACTTTTATTAACCTCCATTCAGAACTGCCCATTTACATTAATTTTGGTTAAAATGCTCCGAATGCTTTGCTTGCTTACACCATGAATATGGAAGCCTTTGTGCTTATTGCCTGGTTAGAAAGTATCTCTGACATGAGTTTGACAAAGAGAGGTATCAAATCATTTAAACAATCTGATTTTATTGAATCACTTATTGACACTATCACTATGTTGCATTGTGTGAAATATTGGCATTTGCTGTAAGGATCAACGGACCAGTTGCATTAAATATGGATTTGTATGTGCATGTATTTGTTTAGCACTATCATCTAGTCATTCAGCTCGCTACCATTGGTGTGGTGATTTTATCCCAGATTGTTGAAGACAGCTTT